TTGTTTTTATCTCTAATGAGCTGCATTCTTTACCAGAAGGCCTTCTGTTCAATGAAGTACTCTGAACTTGTGTGTCCCATTCCCATAGCAAACATCACGAAGTGTGACATTTTGGATCAGCACATAACACTGGGTCAGCTCCAAATGACAAGAATGGCATACCCAGCTTCATTTCAACCTGTAGACAGTCAGGAACAACAGGGGGAGCAGAAATCAATCATTCTTGTTGTTTGTCTTAACCCCAAGAACAATAACTGAAGAGAAGAGATACTATGTCACACTGTAAAAACAAATGTTAGCAGAAATGGGACCCTCCTGTGAACTTAAATCACTTAAATCATACTCAAGAGGCAGATGGTCTGAAATGAGTGTAATGCTCTTGCCTTTCATGACAACAATGTTGGTTGCATTCCATTTCATAACATATCAAAACTATCAAACGTGTTCACACCTGTTCAGAAAACTTAATTCCAAAGCCCTTGCACCAGAAGAGTTCCTGGAAGATGTACTAAACAGAGGATGGGTAGCACAGTCTAGATCATTGTATTTGTCTCCTGTGGTTTGTTTAAGGAAAAAGGATAGAAGTTTGAAGCTCTGTTGTGACCACCCTTTAACAGCTTTTATTACCCCCTGGGGACTTTATGAATGGTTCTGCATGCCTTTTGGACTCAGCTGAGCTCCTGACTGAGTCCATCTGAGCTCTCTACAGAGCAGAAGGAAAGATAATAAGTAACGACAGCCTCAAACTCCAATACTGATTTAGAAGATGAATACCACCTTCACCCACACAACAAAGAACAGCAATCTCAGGATCAGTGGTTAAGTTCTTAATCCTGATGCTAAGAGCTTTCAACCCCAAGTAATAGAACAGACCAATGATACATATGGCATCACCTGCAAATAAACAATATTTGTATATACTGTATCTGTAGTCCCTCAATGAGGGAATACGGATGGGAATGACAGTCATATTGAGCTTGAGAATCAAAATCTCCAAGAACATAATGAAATGGATTATGTTTGATGAGAAAAACACAGTCTCTGTGACCATATCCCCAAATGGAAAGGCATCTACCAAGCATGCTGACTTTGAGGCAACCCGCTACTTTAAGCGGAGACCTTAAAGTAAAAGATGTTCAGATAGCAGAATAATCCTGTTTCTTTTGGGGAGCTTAGGATACAATGAGCAATGTTTATTAGTATTACATTGTTTCATATGTGAGAATGCATGAACTTGGATATACTGTAGTGTTAAGTGTTTATTTGACTATGTTAGCATGTACAGTATGTTGGAAGAATGAATGGCAGCTCAAAGAGATTTTGGTAGAGTGGACCGGAAAACTTAGTCCGAAACTAAGAAACTAACAACATTCCTAATAGAATTATTAGCCTTTTAGAATGCTAATTGTAGAGTGACATTTAATATTCGTGGGGACAGTGTAATTCACACTGTTAAAAATGTTTTTAATTGTCGTGTTCAGTTTCCACTAACATTATAGCGTGTGAACTGACCACAGTTTTAGTTAACTGCCAGGCGGCACAAGCGAGGGTGCTTTTCACCCAAGCGCGTAAGCATCAGTTTAAAACTGAACATAACGGATGATGCCACACTGTGGTGATGTACAGCAGCTTTATCAATCTTTGTAAATTTACAGTTAAGCTATTAGTCTAAATGTCATGAAAGATGTGTAAATACATAAGAATGAATTTACATAAATGTCTCTATTTCGATTCTAAACCAAACAGATCCAGTCATAAAAAAGTGATGGTACAAATGTAAACAGACATAGTGAAACCTGTTTAACTGTATACATTAGGAAGTGATAAGAATATTTTCCATCAGTTTAAAACTGAACATAATAAACTGTGGAGATGTACAGCAGCTTTAATTATCAATCTTTGACAATTTAAATACTTACAAATACCTAACTATACAGTATGTGCTGTCTCTGAATGGATGAGTGTCTTCATTCCTAAAAGTGCAACATCGACAACTGTCACTTGTTGTCTGTGGTGTTCACAGTCCATCAATGACAGGTGATGATCCGGGAGACCACACCTCACCATCATCACAAGACCATCATCATACCGTGTCTTTGTGATCATGTTAATTCTTCCAGTACAGTTGCATCAAAAACACCAGGTCGCAGTTCAGCTATGAGAAGGGAACTAAGCAGGGAACTAAGTTTCAGGTCAGATAACAGGACCCTGGTGCTACTAATGAAGGAACAGAAAGAAGTGCTGTGGACTCAATAGCAGTGCAATCAAGGTTTTGTGAAGACTACCCTGAAGAATGTCAGTATGCGATGCTGGGAAAGAAGTGTCTAGTCACACAGAACTCCATTTGTAGTTTTTGATGGCAACCTGACCACACAGTGATGTTGTGACTACACTTGTTGATCAAGTACTGGGACCTCACATGCTGCCCTTCCTACAGGCTCATCCTGACATGACAACATTCCGTCAAGACTTCACATGTCCTGCTGGTCATGCAACTGGCCATGTAACAGTGGCTTTCTTGCACAATGAATGAATATGAGAAGAGATGAACACGATAGTTATAGCACAAATGCTCTACTCACCAGGCTTGAGCTTCATTGAATATTTTTGGGATGATCTAGAAGAAAATACAGTATCTATAGTATCTACGGCTCAGAGACACGCTGTACCTGGGGAATGGGACAGAATCCCTTAAGACAGCATCTACAACCTGTTGCAAAGCTTCTATCTCAGATGTACAGTTTGTATTCTATCAGTGCCCATTCTACACTACTAGCCTCTGTATTTCATAGATAGATAAGACTTTATTGATCCCGAAGGGAAATTGAGGTGTTTTTATATGTTCATACTGTATGTTCCCTGTTGATGACACCTGTTAATCAGCATAATGGATTTACTAGTACTTTAATATATATATTTATGTCATATATGTTCAATAATATATCAGTGCTCCTGCTACAAAACAAATGTCATTTTCTTGATAACTTTATGAACCTGTTACTGTTCATTTTATTGGCCAGTAGATATATACTTTTTATGCTTATCTTGTAATTTCACCAAAAGAACATTTTTAAAGATGTAATTTGCCTTGACAAATTGCTTATATAGTTTCTAAATGTTGGATTGTTGGATCATAGCATCCTGTTTAACTTCATTCAATTAGATAATAAATGGAAAGCTGACTCCTTCATGTGCCCTTACCCATGTAAACTAGCGTAACAAAGAGTAAGGTTTATTCTTTATTAGTATTTTACCTTCAAGAAACGGATATGAAATACAGCTGGAGTGTCCCACCATAGTGAATCCATCAGTGATTCTTCTGAACGATCATACTGCAGTCCAAAACTAAACCTGTAGAAGAAGCTGGTCAAATCATATTAAACAAGGTATAAGTCTCACTAGAACTCTGATTGCCCTCTACTGGAAGAAACTGGAGGGAATTTGCTACTCCATACCATTGCAATTCATTACGTACGTGAGAAATCATAATGAGTATATTTTTTTCGGATTTTGCTTATTCCTGCTGTGGCCTCTGTGTTTACTTTTGAGAGAATATATGTCATGAATGCCTATGAAACATTTTCGATGATGTATTTGAGTCCCAATTGCATTTGATTGATTTTTCAGATGCATCTAGTGCCTGAGGATTGTTGGGTGACATCCACCAATTTGAGAAATGCGGTGTCAGTTCATAGCAGTAACGAGTTCAGCCTTTCCTAGGTTTGTATAAGTAGGAACACTTCTTGAACCTTTTGACTTTACTTGCAGTCTTATTGACCCAAAATACCATTCTACGGTGATTATTTTCTCATAACATGCAATTTGGTTACCTGTGAAGCACATACTGTTTTTACTCTGTTTCACATACAGTACCAGTCGGAAGATTTTGGAGAATATTTTCTTTCTTTGACTTTCATTTTTTATCACTACTCTTCAAATATTAGTAGTAGATCATAAAAGTGTTACAGTAGTTTCGTTTGGGAGAAGGATTGTTTTTTTCAAAATAAAATGATTTTTTTAATACATCAAAAATAACTTAATTGGTCTTCTTCTGCGATTTCGAAATTTTAAATGATTGTTTCATTTTGTGCCTGTGTCTTCTCTTGGGTTTAAAATTAATTAAAAACTTCTAATGTTCCAGTTCACTTCAGAAATGAGTTTCTAAATGCTGAAGTAAATTTCAGTATTAAATTAGTTTTAAGGCAAAAATAGCTTTTCTAATTATTTCTACAAATTAAATTACAAAGAAACACAAGTCTCTCACAATAATTCTGTGGGAAATCTCTCCTCGAAGAAACCTACATTTGTGTTGTAAGGCTTGTTTTAGTCAACTAATTAACAATAGAAAATAGCCTAAAGCTCTATGTAAGAAATTACTGTAAAGGCTCCATAAATCAATTATCTTCACATAGGAAATTACAAACTGTAATATACAGATGTGGTAAATGTTTACATATCATGTTTGTAATTTTCTGCATGACAAATCCATCATCAGCAGTGAAACATTTCATGCATAATCTTGGGAGAATGTAAATCCTTACATGACCTGGAAAATAAGGTTACAGAACCATGTGATGAGTTATATAACCAAAAAGGATCTGTGTGAAACTAGGAGAAAGTAGCCAGCAGGAAATTGAGATATGAATATTGGTGCTTAGCAGTCCATCACTTAAAATATTTGCCATGGTAACCCAAAGACCTCACAAACTAGCAACATTTGTAGATGGCTCTACAAGTTTGTCCAGTGCACACAATCTGCCTAATTAGTATATAAAATCTGCATTGGAGAGACTGATGTTTGTATGAAGAGTGGGAGAACAGCAAGACTCACTGATTGTATATGGTCTAACTGTATGATCATAAAGAACACCGTTTTATCAAATTGGGCTCTAAGTTAGGCTTATATAATAGTTAATTAAAACAGTTTGAGAAAGCTCTACACTTTCTTAATATTAAAATGACTTCTGTATTAAAAAATAGCACTAATCTTAAAAGCAAGCACCTTTATTTGTATAACATATATAGATTTGTTATTGTACACTTTTCTCTACTTTGTGGTCTTATTATACATTTACCAACAATGGGTAAAAAAAATACGAAAATACTTATGGAAACAATGCCATGTACATAATACAAATGAGCAAACATATCAAAATCAGTTTTTACAACTTTTTGTAGCAACCATTTCTTTCTATTGGCTTGCCATAGTGCAAACTGTATTGTTTGAAAGACAAAAGTTTGAGCACGGTTTTAACATTCATCAGTTTTGTATTTCTCTGCCTTTCATACATTTACATGTGAAGGCTGCATTCTTAGTACTTCCCATTCAAGTCCATCTTTCCAGTAATGGTGATTAACAATAATTCAAGTGTGCAGGGCAGTTCAGGTGGCAATGTAATAGAAATGCTATAATTTACTGAACTATGATGCCTCTTATGTAAATAACATAAACTGAAGCCCTTACTGATGCATTTTTACAAAAGACTCAGACCCCGCACGTATTCATCTACAACTCCAACATTAAGCCTTTTTTAACTGACTTGTAGGCTTCTCAGTTCCATTCAGAAATCTACATACAGTATATGATGTGTACTGATAGTTTAACATAGGTTTTTGAAGCTTATGTTGAAAAGCGAGACAGTGAGGAAAAAGGTTCGTAAGGAGATGCCATGATCTTGACTGCTGCTTCCTCCCATCTAGTCCGAAGATCAAACTTCCCACAGCCGCGCACATTTGACTTCCTCCATCGTTTTCAATGACTTGCTCAACAATCAGGGAGCATCTGTTGCTATTCTGGTTCTATTGCACAGTATTTTGGAAATGCGGGAATCACTGATAGATGAAATCTCTTAATTCTCAAGTCCAGCCTCAAGATGCAACAGGCTTCGCCAGCGGGCTCATGAGCACCCACAGCGATCTACCACCATGGAGGGGATCTTGCCGTAAATGATCTGTTCCTTCCCATTGAAATAGAGCATGTTGATGGGGGACATCTTGGCAGGGGTGCAGCAGGGCCCGGCTGTACCTCTGGGGTTTGCTTTAATAGCCAGGTGAGTGTGGGGGTACTTCTGCAAATGCATATACTCACATTCTCCAGAACAGTAATTGGCCTTGTACCGTTTGGGGGCAATAATCCAGTCCCAGCCAAAGTCCTCAAAGTCCACAGTGAGGGGATACCGACAACATCGGGACTCAGGTGAATTCTCATCACAGTCTAGGCCAGAGTCTCTCCTCAGCCTCTTGGGAGTGTCGGAAATCTTCACTTCCATAAAGGGCTGCTGTATTAAAAAACAAGTTCAAACTAAAACTGAGTGCAAAATCGAGTAGAAGTGTTATTTTACTGCTCAATACCTACATATGGGAAAATATAAGACAAAGTGCTTTCGTATTACCTCTGTGGAGAGGAATTTTGATTATATCAATTAAAATGAAAGTATATGTTTGTTATGCAATACTTATGACTGAGTGGAACGATGTATTCCGATGTGGCTTATATGCATATATAGTCTTTTATACTCATTTATGATGCGGACGGTAGACGATGCCCGGCCGGCGAATCTTGCTATCTTTGACAATGTTATGTGGGGAGGTTTATTTAAATGATGTTTTAACTTTCTCCTAAGAAATACTTGCTAAAAAAAATGTTATTTTTCTAATTTATATACATCTTTTTTGTTATAAATTTCAAGCGTTCTGGTTTTTTAATATTTTAACTACAAGATTGTCGAGTAGTTCTTACTTTGACAAATCTTCATAGCTCTGTATTCTAATTTACAGTCTCTCTGGTAATTTACAGCAAAACATCCGGGAAAAGCAGCTGTGAATAACATAATCTCTTTCCAGAATTGGAAATTATATTTACAAAGGTTTCGTTTATACATGATCGATTATTTAAAAAAAGAAAAAAGCACCTTAAAAGATGGGTTGCACTTTAATATAATCATATAGATCATCAATAAAATGTCAAGTAGTAGATGTATTTTAACTATAGATGAACACATCATGAAATAACTGTTAAAAGGATTGTTACTTAAATCTTGAAGTTTCAATTCACCCGTCATTACAGAAACATTTGAATTCGCGACTGGTTTTCTCAAATCCGTGAAATGTTTAAGCCAGAGTATTAGGGGTGCTTTTCTCACCGCCTTTTCAAACTGTAATGTAGCTCGGTTTACATCGATTTAATAAATAACTGACATTTTTTATATATTTCAAAAGACACAGATACTGTATGCCTTTTATCTACTCGTGTGGTTAAGCAATTGCCTTTGGAATCATGCATATAACGTATATTTTCGTTTCCACGTTGTCCTCCAAAAAAGGATTTAAAGAGGCATTACTTAATTACTTACCAGTCCCTCTTCTCCTGCTTCTGGTGAGGTAACCGCCAAGTCTTTTCCTGAGGAATCAAATGCGTTTATCTCGATCCCCCAGTTAGTTTCTGGATGCTTAAGCCAGACTTGCAACACTTGTTTAACGTCTACACTATGCCAAGAGGGGTTTCCTGCATTTATATCCAATTTGAGAGATCGGATTCTTATGTGTCTGTTTCCATCCGTTGCTGGTTTTAATCTGGAAATCTGCAGAAACACTGTGGTAGGTTCATCAGCTGGTCGGAGGTGTATCCAGAGCTGAGCTCGGACGATGCGGTTTGGTTGAATCTTTGGGCTGAATGAGAACAAGCAGCATTTTGGCTTCCTGTCCACCTGGACAGTGGAGTCAGCTTTTGGGAAAGAAAGAAAAAATAAAATATTCAGAGGTTATTAAAAGGTTAAAAACTACTTTATGAGATTAATTTAATGTACTCGAGTAAACCTATGCTATACAGTATTACGACGTAGGAAATATATACAGCTAATTTAATAATTCAATGTTAAATGATCTTGTAAATATATTGCCACGTTCTGCAGCAAGATCTGTCGGAACTATGCAAGGATTTCTTAACTTATTTCGTTACCATGAAAATGTGATGTTATAAATTATTATTAGTTCATATGCAATCTTGTGTTTGAGTTAAAAATTCGCCGCACAACTTCCCTGCCATTTCTAGGAATTAGAAATGTATCTTGTTTCGGAATCAAGTTACTTTAAATTATTTTGTGGAGCAGCATTGGGTGTCTTGAGACTCTCCTAATATGAATCGTTTTGCAGCAAATGTTGCAAGTAATTTAAGTCTGGTGCTTTAGCTAAACTATTGAATGAATAGACATTTCTAGGGTGATATGACTATACAGTATCTACTGTATGCATTGTGTTATTGGTAGACTTTTCACCGATTAATCTAAAAATGTTTTAGGACATTCTGCACCTTTTACACACCGACAAAAAGAGGACGGGATTAATTGAACAGGCAAGACAGTTGCACAGTTGTTTAGGAAATATACATTTGGCTCAAGAAATACACGGTTTATAGTGCGCTAATAGTAAATGAAGCTTTATTGCACCGGTCTTTCCACTATAACTCTGCAGTCATTTCCTAAAACAGTACAGTGTTTTATCATGGGAAAACTTACCCAAATGTCATTATAAATCTTAGTCATTAAGAGCAATCACTGCGCAACAGGTGTGCAGAACATCGAATTGTTGCGCACAATTCGTTTTTCCGAAAGAGGACATTCAGGTGGTTGTGACACACACTATGTTGATCTGTTGAAGATGTTTTTTTTTGCAACCAAACGTTTTATAGAACTACGGTTAAAGGAGCAGTCCAGTCAGCAGAACAGCTGAAACGTCTCACTACTATATAACTGGAAGGTAAAGGGTACTTTCTCCTGCGACGCAAAGCGAGAAACACCACATAACAGTAAAAATAATCTGTTGCTACGCATTCGTATCTTAAACGCTACACCTCGACTTGAGTGTTAAAAATGCTCTTTAATTTAATTTTGTCTTAAGTGCTAGAAATAATAAATAATATACCAAGAATACTTACGCTCTGTAGCCATGGTCATGATTGTTTCTGTGATGGCATGGTCATCGTCCTCCTCTAGAGACGCGTCCTTATTATCATCCCCTAGGACATCATATTGGTCAAGCAACTCCCGTATTGGAGGAGCTTTGGGCAGCAGCTGCTCCACAACATTTCTGCTGATGTTTGGAGGTTGCTTGAGGCGAAGTTTGCTGAGAATTTGGAACTTAATGGAGTGCAGTCTCATAAGTTTGCTCTGCCGCCTGAAATCACAAGCAGAGCACTGCTCACCGTCTTCCACTGTGTCAGAAGGCTGTTGCGCTGTAATATTACCCAAACCCACTGAACCAAAAGCGACCAAGAGACCCAGGTAAATAAGGATCTGTGAATGTTGCATGTTCCCAGTGTTTGGTGCGTATCTTTCTTAATGTTTTGTATTTATTTCCTCTTATTTCAAAGCAGTGAAGAGTTTTCTATACTTTGAACCATCCACCACACCGATAGGTGTCATATATTTCAACTGGGCTTTTTATACCCCCACTCTGGTTACTCTATTGTGTCGTCAAAATTCAATGATTGGCTAGTCAGGCAACAATGAATCTAGCTGTCAGAGGTGAGATCCATTTCTCTGTCAAGGCGTTAGCTACCATGGCTGTGACTGTTCGATTTTATGAGACAACTGCGCAATATAAATCAAAGCAAGGGCTTTTTGGAATACGTGTTAATTAACTTCTTGAATCCTGGCGCTGTTTTGCATGTAGTGCTGTACTGGGGTAAATTACTTGCCACAATGCATTATTCATAAAACTTTGCTGATTTTTTTGTCGTCCGCATTCCACGCGACTTGGATTAATTTAAGTTTGTTGTTAGAGTTTTGCACTTCGCTGTTTGTGGATAGTTTTGGCACACGACTTGTGTATCTTTTTTCAAAATGTACACGTTGACATTTAAATGTTGCAGTTGCGGTGAGAAACATGGATTTCACGACTGAAGTAGAAAGAAGTTAGCAAACTGGAGTATTTGAAGTATTTTTGAGCCGCTGCAATAGAAACCATGAAGTGTGACGTTCTCAGGAGTAGCACCCTCAGATAAAAATAATCTTGGGTTAAGCACTTGGCCACCAGTGTCTGATTTCCACTTTCCCACTGGAAAGCAGCGGTGCTTATGAAATTCATTTATCACTTGTAACAGGAAAAAATAATATTAAAATATTTTAAAACTAATACAATGGTAAATGACAAAGGAAACGGCTTTTCTATAACGACAATAACTGTGTTTATGTATCGAAGGTATGTATAGTTATTTCTTAATGACATGAAAATCACAAATTGTGAATATTGAGCTTAAATAAAAACATACAATTTCATTAAATACAAATATTCAAAGTATGTATATCAAAGTATATACAACATATACTAAATCAATTTTTAGAGATCCAGACCACATTATACTGTGTTATGTCGAAGGTTAACTTATATTTATTACAGAATGTTGATAATGCTTAGTATGCCCCCTGCTGGCCAATATTAGAATGGTTGCTCGCAAGGTTTAAATTCAAATCCTGTATTTCACAGTACAAAAAAATCCCGTATAAGTCTAGTGATACTGATTTGTGAAGAACAAAAAATACAGAAGTGACTTACTAGGGTTTTGTGTGCCCTACCTCTTGTTTGTTGATATTATCTGTATTAGAAGTTAATTTTACAAAAGCATAAGAAAAGTTACAACTAAGGCACTTGAAGGGTACCGTAGCTAATTGATACAAGAATCTCTCCCAGCTGTTTCTTAAAAGAAGCCAAGGTACAGTATGAGCTTCAGCAACAGCTTCATCTACAGCATTTTCCAACAACACCCTATACTATACTGTATCTGCTTTCTCTTCTTTGAACGAATTCAGTATCTTTTGTACATCATGGTGACCAAAATTGTACATAATAATCTTAATAGAGCCTTATTAGGGCAAAACCATAAACTGTATAAGAAATAATAAATATTTTGCTAAATGTATGCAGTGCCTTAAGGAGGTATCCAGGCCCTTACACAGTTTTTATATTTTATTGCTTGAAAGGTTGCTGTCACTACATTGTATAGTAACAATATTTGTTGTATACAGTACATTACCTATTCCACAAATTCAAGAAAAAAGTAAAAGAAAAAAGTTAATGAATAATTCATATGAAAGAGAAAGTTTGCTGTAAAAAAACAGGGTTAATTTAGTTGCACAAAATTACCTTAATAAGCCACACAATTAAACATATTTTTTTAATTACCATTTCACATGAAGTCCATGTAAAACAGCTTTTTATGGTATGTATTGTGGTAAAACCTTTAAATCAATGTCAGATCTTTTTACTGATATTGCGTAGCAAGATTTTGCACACTAAGCTATAATGTATTTTTCCTCATTCCTAACTGGCCTTACTTATTCCCACTGTAAATTGGATCTACTTGCATATCAGATTACAATCTCATTGTCCAGCTGTCTGTAACACCAAAAGTGTGCTATTACTGTAAAGAGTAATTATTTGCATTCAGAATAAAGTGCATTGTAGAGTGACAGAAATTGGTATTTAGAGTACATACTGTACCACAAGGCTCTGCTCCTTGGATGACAATGGATGAAGTATGAATTATGCAATAACAGCAATCATGCTGTTTTGGAAGAAAATGTGCACCTGGTGCTCTGAGGTCATGTTAAAAGGGATATTATACATTATAGATGCATAAGGAAAAATTGCAGGTTAAGAATACATTACAACTAATAAGTTTTATTATTAATGTTAGGTTCAACAATTAGGTCTACACTGTAAGCAAAATCCTAAACTTAAAATTCAGAATGATTTATCTGTGGAATAGTTGTAGTTTCTAAAAATATACTATATAATGCAAATATTTGTCATATTAATTCAAATGATAACCTGCTTCTTTCATTTCCTTACAGATACCCCTTTAAATGCTTATTTTTGTACTTAAAATTTAAGATAAATGTCTTATGACCTGTTTGGAAGAATCCATGCTCTTCATTTTTTTATTACTTGAATTATTACTATCTGGAAATACGAAAAAAGATCACTTCACTGGTTAGTACATGATTGGTGGCCATTCCGCATTAGTTAGAAGGATAAGTCTGTTACCCAAAGAATGCATTAGAGCTTATGATCACCAATCTTAATGCAAAGGAGGAAGCACTGCATGACTACATTTCAGAAGAACTATTATTACAATAGTTGTGGTTTATTTATCGTAGGTATGCATAATTACAATTATTTCTTAATGACTAGAAAATTACATATACTGTACTGTATATACACAATACATACTGTATATATGATACATTATTTGGTTAGATTTTTCACGTTGTTTTCTTTATTAGAATTTATTTACAATTTATTTCTTCTGTGGGAAAGCATTTTTTTTTAATTTCCTGGCTTCTTGTGTTATATCTGCTGCTGCTTTCCATTCTTAATTCATCTTTCTAGGTATAAGCTGTGTTTTGTCTGTTTTTTATTCAAACTTGAGAACTGTTAAACAATGAAGCAATCATTTTCTTAGCTATAGACGTATCTAAGTTTTTTTATGCTCTTTTGAAGTTGGTTACTCAAAACATTCACCTCATTAAGGGAACTGTTGACTACTGAACTCCTAAGAGACTGGTCAGAAGAATTAAAATTATCCATCCTTCCATTTTTAACTGCTTTATCCAGTACAGGGTTGCAGGGCAGCTGGAGCCTATTTCAGTAAGCAACGAGTACAAGGCAGGATATACCCTGGATGGGATGCCAATTCATCACAGGGCAAACACAGACACAGATACACACACACTCACACCAGGCAAATTTTCCGAGAAGCCAGGTGACCTTCTGTACCTGTATTGTCTGGACCGTGGGAGGAAACCCACATGAACAAAGGGAGAACATATAAACTCCATGCAGAGAGCTACACAGGTCCAGAATTGAACCCAAGGCAACCATGCCGCCCTGTAATATAATTATGCAGTTTACAATTAGACCAATTACATACACTAGGTGGAAGCTTGGTGGAACCAAAACCAGAAAGCACTAAGTCTTCTGGGATAAGGGTCCGACACCCCTGTTCTAAAGTACTTCCTCCTAATCTGACTTTGATCAAACTGTCGTTTAATTATTTGTTGTGTTCCCCTCTGATCTTAACCTTCCTTCTTCAAAAGTCAATTTGGAATATGTGTTGATTATTGGTGTTTCACCTTTTTAAGGCAATTCATCTGTGTTTTTCTTTATATTATTTTTCTTTGATTAAAGAATCATTCTTAGTCTAGTTTTATATTGTTGCCATTGCTCTGTGCCAAGGACCAGATGGCAGCACACCACCCTAGGTTTTCTTGGATAGTATAGATGCACTCATTTCTTGCCGAAGCTTTAAAATATCCAGCCAAAAATCCTTAATTTATAGGATTTTTGATCAATCAGGCCTGCTCACTTCTCCAAGATGGAAAAAGTAGGTATTGCCCAATTACAGTAAAGAAATTAGCAATGATGTATTACTACCCATTACGGTCGGGAAGAATGTGAAAGAACATGTAAAATAAGCACCCAGCTATGTACTATAAATCTCCTGTAAAGCTGTTGTACTGTATTCTCTGTTGGTGATTTTTGTCAATTTTTTTGTATTGTTGTGTTGGATCCTGCAGTAAAACAAATTTCCCCAAGAGGATTATAAAGTTTGAATTGAATGCTAACTAACAGACCTCAATATTCCAATTTAAAAAGCCTGTGACCTTTTGGCTACAGTTTATAAAGCAACCAAGAAGGCCTCACTTTATCTTCTTCTGAAAATGGTTGCAGGTTGTTGCTCAAGATGGGTGCTGAGGGCTGTGTTGCCAACACAATCCACTGGTTTGATGTTCTTACTCCAGTGCTAGAGTGAAAAGTGTCACAAAGCATGAGTTCACAACTTGGGCTTCACTAGGAAGAAAGAAAGCAAACTACATAACCAAACAGCTATTTCACTTGCACTTGAAATAATTGTTACAGAAGGCACGTTATGCCATAATGAGTTAATAGGGTTGCCTATGCCAGAGGCATTAGTCATTTCACTCTCATAATGCTACATGTGAAACCCAAAGGAATATCTACAAAGGTTCCTTCAGGGCATCAATTCGTAGATACAGAACAGCTTTAGGAGAATGTCATTTTATGTGTGCAAAATATCTTTTTTTTAAAATAATTAACGAACAGAACCTTCTGTTAGTGGTGCACTTCAGCGTGATAATGCATGATACATAAAGAAAATCATTTCAGATTATTAAAAAATGAGATTAGTTATTTATAACAGCTCACATCATCCTAGTAAGATTATTTTACTGAATGATTTAGAGGAAGACATACTGGCATGGCACGGTGGAACAGTGCTTAACATTGCTGCCTCGCTATGCTGGGTCCTGGGTTCAATTCTGGACCGTGGGAGCTATTAGTGAGTATTTCCTCCCAGAGTCCAAAAACTGGGTTTCCATCCAGAGTGCACAAAGCCCTGTTATGTGCTGGGATAGGGATAGGCTCTGGCACCCCAGACCCTGAAATGGAAAAGCGGATGGAAGAATAGATATTAACCATGGGATATTTATTCTAGCTCGGGTCATAAATTAATGAAGATCAGACCTGTAGAATACATTCAAATTATCCCGGTGCCCAGGAATAGGGGCATTGTTTGTGGATATTCCTCTGTGCTGTGTGCCCTGTGTTCTGAGTATGGCATCAATCACATGACATTGACATCAGCTAACTTGTAAAGTGTTTTATCTGGGCTTCCAATAAGCAATGTTGTCTTATTTAAAGAGACTATATGACCACACTTTGCACAAATGTTTTATTTACATCTGAATTTCATGTTACCTCTCCTCAAAGTAGTGAACAAATAGAATGTATACCTTGTTAGTGTATTATAAACAAAATGAAACAGCAAACAAAGAGGACTAAGGCTTACCAAGCAAATAATATTTTAAATAAATCCCCCACACCATTTCATTTAGTTTACTTGTTGGCCTTTCTATACATTACCAAGTAAAATGTTTAATAATAACAACAATAATTCCTTTCACTTACATAGCTCTATCAAAGCACTTTACAGGTAATGGGGACTCCCTTCCACCACCACCAATGTGCAGGAACCACCTGGGTGATGCGACAGCAGCCAAAGTGCACCAGTACACTCACCACACATCAGCTACTGTATTAATGGAAATGAGAAGCCAATTTATACTGTAGATGGGGATTATTAGATGGGCCATGATTTGAAAAGGCCAGGGGGAAATTTGTCCAGGACACCAGGATAACACCCCTACAATATTCAAGAAAACCACGCAGAGTCAGGACTTCGGTTTTTACGTTTCATCTGAAGAACTGTGCCTTTTTTTAAGATATAGTGTTCCCATCACTAGAGTGTGGCATTAGGAAATGCACAGACCACAAGATGAGCACTCCCTACTGATCCCACTAACATCTCTTCCAGCAGTAACCTCAGCTTTCCCAGGAAGTCTCCCATCCAGGTACAGGCCAGGCTCACACCTGCTGAGCTTCGGTGGGTTGCTAGTTGCTAGCTGCAGGGTGAAACATCTGCTGGATAGAATAGTTCTGCAAGACGAAAATGAGCTGCAGAGGCACATGACATAATCTTTCCACTCCCTATAGAGCTATCACAGGGCTACCAGTGTTCTGGACAGCACATGGTCACCACAAAGAGCCCAAAAGCACCCAGCCAAATAACAATGCATAAGAGAGAAGGAGAAAAACAGCATAATTCAACATTATATGACAATTTATCACACAATGTGAATTTTACACAAAGAAATTCTGATCATCAGATAATAATACCCATTCAGTATTACCCACAAACTTAAATATTATATTACCACAGTCATTTAAATAAACTGCATGTGCACGAAAATTAAATTGAAAATACATCTCTCTACACTGTTATTCTCCACAATGACGGTCTTACACCCATTAAGCACATGCTAGACAAACGCACAGTGCTTGATCCACCCACCCACACTCTAGTGCATCTTGTGGAATTGGTTCTCACACTCATTGCATTCTCATTTAATAATCTTTTTAATCTGCAGGTTAGTGGAGTCGCCATGGGCACCAGGATGGGACCTAACTATGCCAATATTTTTGTCAGCTAGGTAGAATGCTTCTTTGCTTCCTACACTGGCTTTGTCCTTGACCTCTACAAGTGATGCATCGATGACTGCATCGGTACTACTACATACTCTAATGACCAGCTAGAGCACTTCCTGCATCAATTCACTAACTCTCATCCATCCTTCAATTATACAGTTAACATATCTTCCACCATTCTTCCATTTCTAGATATATATATATTTATCTATTAACCATCTATGACACTCTACCTCAGTCTATTACAAACCCACAGATTCACACCGCTATCTCCTGTACAGCTCTTTTCACTCCACTCACACCAAAAGCTCTCTCCCTTTTTCAAAGTTCCTCAGGCTACGTCGACTCTGCAGTGACAACATGGATTTCAAGAACCAAGCACTCAAAATGCATTGGTTTTTATAAACAGAGGATACCCCACCCATGTTATCGATAGGGCCCCACACCTGGGCCAAAAACAGCCCTCAAATCATCAACTCAACAAGGAACTCCCGGTCTCCCAACCGCATTCCCTTGGTGCTTCCCTAACACCCTAACACCCTTTCTATCCCCAGGACCATCATTAACAACTACTCCATTTTACAGGACGATCCCTCCATCGGTACCCTTTTTTCCAGATCTTTTATCGCCGGCCAACCAATCTATGTAATTTTCTTGTTTACAGCTCCCTCGACTGCACTCGGCAATCAACCCCACCAGGCACCTTTCCCTGCAACAGAAATCGCTGCACCATCTGCAAATACATATCTAACAACACGCTCATTCACGGCCACTCAGGTGGCAGACTTTACACTGCATACATATTTAGACAAATAAAACTGCAGTTACATAAACTCTAACATTACAATGTCTGCATTGCTGTGGAATAAAAAAAACTCTTCTTAAAGCAAGATTTTTCTTTAATAGATTCATATTAATAGATCTGCCAGACTGAAGAAGTTAAAAGAAATGATAGGATGACTGAGACCATTCAGCAGCAATAGTTTTACACAGAAAAAAAAGCACTCCGTTTTTTGCTTTAAAAGCATTCCTTTACAATTCTCATGACTCCGCTTCTCTAATATAATGTTGTACAGATAAGGCAGATATATTAATAATATTAATAGACAGATTGTAATGCATTCTCAGAGCTGAACCCCATACCTCCAGGACAGGTACTCCCAATTAAGAAAGCCCTCTTAATCAGACTGTGTATAACTGCATGCACACAGTCAAAAATGATATCAGTGGAGCTCATCTAAAAAAAAAAAATCACACAAACTGTAAAACTATATAGATACTGTACCATTACAAGGCAGAAAACTGGCATAACAACAGGAAAAGGCATACTGTAAATGCACAGTAAAAAAACAACAAAGGCCATTCTCTCCCCCATGCAATTCTCTGAATTAAAGTACTCAAACATAAACTCACACATTGTTCAAGTCATCACAGCCTTTTCTTGCTCTTGCACATTAACCTGGTTGCATGTTCATCTTTCAGCAAGAAAAAGGCAAGTTATTTATATTCAAGATCATGACCAAATAAGCTACCATCTGAGCAGAAAGCCTACAAGAGAATAAGTCAATTTCCATTGAGATTTTAAGAAATCAATGTAATTCAACACAGTGTTGAGTTGACTACATATAAAATTAAGCACACTGGAATAACAGCAATCCTTCAACAAAGTGTATTCTTGTGTCACACGGGTATAATCTCCACTCCTCTCAAGGAGCGTTTATAATAATACTGGGTTGTTCACTACACCTACTGTACATTTAACATGAGTGATAAATTTAAACATGATTGTATGGGTTACTTAAAATCAAGACAGATCAGAGTTAACTTCCTAATCTTTCATTTAAGACTAATTGCTTAAGTCCTGCATTTCTAGGTTTAGCTATAACAGTTGTTTTATTTCTCATAAGAAATTATGGATGCTGTTTATCGTAATTATTCGAAGTTTGTTTCTGTGTTACGAATTGTAAAAGTATTGTATGGTAGGCCTTATTCCCGACAATTACAATTACCTTTACCAGATTAGCCACGTACAGTAAATTAGAGATATTATTTTAACACTCCATAATTTATATTCAAAGTATATTATATAAAGACAGACGCGAAGATTAAAAAGTATAATGCAATATAATGTATAATGTAGATACATGGAATTGATGCATATTAGACAATTATTAATATTCCGTAACTTAAATATTATGGATAAATTGCTATGCCAACTGAAGTCGAAACAAAAACGATGGTTTGTCTTCAAAAACATGCTGTATTGCCGATGACTGAACCTGACAACCACCCCAATTCTTATTCATATATAACTCTTGCCTTAAGTATATAATTTCCTTTAATTTTGAAAACTAACCTTGAAATAATTTCAAAGAACCAAGAAACAGAAATTTTCTCCCTCTAAGATGATGAAGAAGACAATCACTACTAACCACTAGATGGAACCATTTCCCAGTTGAAATTCGCATTCCGAGCTGCTACATATATGTATAAAAAGCCTTGTGCTTTATAAAACAGCAAGTTTGTCCAACGCAAGCCGAAACAGTTTGGGAATTGTGTTTCGGGAGTACAATAAAGAAATCATCTGGTAACGGCTGTTGAAGATTATGCTTGCCAATTCACGGGTTTTCACGAATAAAACAACGTAATTTGAAACATTATCCTACCTCCATTTCTAAGGTATTATACAAAATTTGAAACGCTGGCCGAGATACTCGGACAGCCTGGGTTTCCAGCAAGATTATCTCTGTCTTCATAGTGCTTTTTTTGAAGTACATTTTAAACTAATTCTGCAGCTGTAAAATATACGCATTATGGCACAATTCTGAGAAGGATCTACGATTTACTGAACTAGCGTTTAAAAGGAGTGAGCTGCAATTTGGATTATAAAAAACTCCTGCTGCAAAGAGAAGGAAGAAGGAGACAGTTAAACGGAATTGAATGATCCGCAACATCAACACGCCTGGAATTCATCTACAAACGAAAACGAATTTATGTGGTGCATTATTTATCATCAGGCGTAATGGCACATTTCTGGGGATAACTGTGATTTAAGAGAGACAGATAACAAAGATTCTGTGATTGCCTTATTATAATAAAAAGTCAATTTTTTTACCTTTGAAAGGTAGGTAACTGCTTTATCATTGTTGCTGTTATGCAAGTATTGGAAAACGTGTTTGTGCTTTTGCCAGATGTGTTTCGTATCTTCCGAAGGCACAATGCTCCTTTACTGAAAAATACATATTGTAGCTAACAAAACAATGTTTCATAATTCTATAATTATATAGAGTTTTCAATCCATGTTAATTACTCAGCAGTGGTAGGAGAAGTACTGTATACCACAGTTCAGGTAAAACCCTGAAACACATTCAAGTGTTCATAGCACGGTCAGGCTGCTCTGAGCAGCCGAAGACTTTTTACAGTTTGCATTGACCTTGAGTTATTACAGAAGGTTAAGTCTTATCAGTTTCTGTTATTCCTTTTATTACCAACGGAAGCAAGGGAGTTAAGTGGATTCTGTATGCACTCTGGATGAACTTCACTGATTATCTGCTGGCTAGATAACACTTTAAAATTTTGAAAATGAAATCCAACATATGTGAAGAGTCTGTCGTATACTATACGATTTTCATTATTTCTTTAGGTGTTTCTGACCAAGAAACCTATCGAGGGTTTCTTCACCCGTTAGCTGGTTCAAACAGTAGTTGTGCACCTTTCTGACATTTTGAATTCTTCAATGCAATTCAATTAGCTAAAGAAAGCTAGTATTTTCTTTTTCTTGGGCGGGGCTTGTTGGAGACAAGACACGACCCAGGACCAAACCTGCATTTAGGATTTAATATAGGTCTAATTGAGCCGCAATCGCATTGTGAGGTTAGTAGACATGACACCTGCCACTAAACACATACAATAAACACGTTTACAGCGTGTTAGTCTCCACGGAAAGAGCTATCGGAAATGTAAGAACGACAAGCAGTGTTCCTTTGTATTACCGAAGCTTACAAGACACCTTTAATTACGTAAGTCATATATTGTAAACTGAACCGCAGCTTATCAGCTTTTAAAAGTTAATCAGAAACACGTTAGCTGTAACCCTGGCTGATCCTATAAAATGTAGCTGTTGAATAAGAGAACTGCTATATTAAAATGAGCGACAGATTACACAAGCGCGATAAAAAGCCAAGTCAAAGGGAACAAACAAACATCAACCATTTAGTTATGAGGCGATGAATACTAGTGACGTAGGGTTTGGGTGTTCATTGAAAACACGTACACACCAACAAAGGTGGCTTTAAGTTAATGGATGCTTTATCATTGTCTAATCAAACCTTTAGTTTACTGATTTACAGTGGTTTATACTAGGTTTCCTATCCTAGCAGCAACTTACAGTACACATCATATAATGAAGCAAACATACCGTAGATAAGAGTTAATTCCATCAGACTTATTATGTGTTCTCCAAAGGTCAGCACACACGAACAAGTGTGGTTTTTCATTTACAGTACAAATATTGATGTTTTTAATGAGGTAAGAAGTATTTTCTCTTTCAAGATTGCCTTAGTATTTCGTTTTCTCTAAATTGTTGTAGATTTTCAGCTGAAAATGGAAACTGCTTGGGGGTGGGGGAAGTCACTTGTATTCCAAATAAATCTTTTATGGTTTAATTACAAATGCACCTCATGGCAGTGCTGAGAATTGAGGCATCAGAGTTTAGTGAAACAACCACAGGCTGCTTTCATTCAGAAATGAGGCAGGGTACAGTGAGAACCAATTTTTGGAATAACCTAGAATTTGCAAGTAAAGAAGGTGGGATTTTAGTGCTTAATTTGAACTTGACCAGTGTCAGTACTATTATGAAATTCCAATATAAGTTTATTCTTAAGAATTAAACCAGCTACTACCATTCTTGCATATTTTTACATTGCTCTATATACTGAATATCCTGTTAAGCACCTAAAATTATGAGCGTTTTCTGGGAGCAGCCATCTGTGTCTGCCAGAGTCCTCTACTAATCCTGTCATCTGTTTCAACGCAGAAACTAGGTGAATGATACCAGGTCAATATGGAAAGTTCACATTATGGTCCTCCAGATCGGTAGAATTTTGAGCAGTTTAGTACTTGACAATGGCTTTGGTAGTAGTAAAATTAATTAAATGAAATATTTTGCTTTTTGTCTCCTTTGAACGGCCAGATAAAGCTGCAGTGTGGCGTGAGACATGTTCGTACGACTCATTCGGAGCGCCGCTGACTTCGCAGACTGTTTTGGCCCTGCCGGAGCTCAGGTCTTAGCTGTGGGACCCAGGAAGTCCCAGTAACCAGTTCCCAAGCAATTGAGGGGGAAGGAAGCGGCTCCTGGAATTCCTCCACCCCGCGCCCCCCCTTGCCAGCCCTCTGCCACAAACACTTTAAGCCAATGCCACATTATTTATATCATGGGATGCATCAAATCGAAGCAGAACAACCTGACTCAGAATGCCAGCTCTATGGAGAAGGCAGACGGCAAGCCAAAGAAGTACTTAGACGAGAACGCAGCTCTCGTCAACTCAGAGACGCGCCAGGGGGAGGAGGGCTCCCTGCGGGTGAACCCAGGGCTGCTGGACTATGCCCAGCGGCTCTCCGAAGAGATTGTGGCCAAAGCTGTGCAGCAGTGGGCAGAGGTTGACAGCAGGTACAGTGACATCCCCTACATCGAGAGCGATGTGCCTTGAAGCCGGGCGGATGACGCATGTCCAGATGCCATCGTTTTTCTGCGAACCATTTCAGAGCGAGCCCAGGGGAAGAGGAATCAATACAAATGTCCACTCTTAGAGCAGAATAACAGCGTTCCAGCGGTTGGGAAACTCTTTTTCTGCACCTACCCAGAAGAAACATTAAATCCTGCACCTAAACAAGGCATTTTCACCTTCTTTTTTTACAATTTTCATTATTTAAAAGAATTGTTTTCCGTTAGTATAAAGGAAGAAGTCTCCTATAAGTATTCTCAAGGAGGGTAACAGCAGTTTCAGGAAGGAGGTGAGGTAGTAAATGAGCCCACTGGTTTACATGCTGCAAGTCATTTCTGTCTCCATCAGCCATTTATCAGGTGATGTAACGCAAGCTCTGGTGGCCTAATCCTGGCAACGTAGCTGGCGGTAGCTGCATCCTTCAGTTCCTTGGATTCAGATGGGAAAGGTTGGGAATAAATGGAACACTCATTGCTGCATTTGTCCTTATGTCAGTGTAATGGAAGAGACCCTGGGCACGGGCCCATCAGGAGAAATTCTTCCCACTGAGGGAACAGAGACGGAGTGGGATTACATTTTCATGAAAATAGGCTATTTACTTGGCTGACATCCTGGTAACAGAATTCGGTTCCTTGCAGAGAAGTTATTAATAGTCCAGTGCCTCTTGTGCTGTCACTGCTTCTACAGTATGGAACTGCAGTCTCAGTTTCCCCCTTCCAACAGCCAGCAAGGACAGCAGCACAGACTCCACACTGCAGCTCCAACTTCAAGATGAAAGATTAATGGGCTCATCTGGCCTGTTCCTTACAAACCCTGTAATCACTTTGACCTTTATGTTTATATATCACACATCCCAGCTCTACCCAAAGGAGTTTTTAAACCTCGGTTTTCATGATTTTACTATCCTAATTGAAAATGGTAAAGGGAAGGAGGCATAATATGTATTTTCCCAAAGTAATAAGAGTCAACACTTTCTGCTTTTACAATTTGGTATCTGATATCTGGTGTTTACATTATGCGGCATAAAACGTGAAACACGTCTTACAATGGCCATGTTTCTTGCTGTTTTTGTTGAGACTTACTGTAACACCTGAAAAAATGCAGTGTTCCACCTTCCATGATAAAAATTGCTGAAAGTGCAGTAATTTCTTCAATGTGATATGAAGGCTCCAAGATTTAAATAAGAAAATTATTATTTAGTGCTTAATCGGTGTAAAAAATGTAAAAGTGTAAAACAGTTCCAGTTTTCAATCAAATATACCCACTAAATAATATGATAACATTTTTTCTAGTGCAAGTTAAGCGTGCGGCCCCTGTGTGTATTACACAGAATTGCGATTGAGATGGGCACATTAAATTGGATTGTGTTGGCAGAGTATGTGTACTGCAGGACACTAGCTGATCCTGGTGTGCTAGGTAAGTACTGTACTTTTTGGGAAACCCCTAATATACTGTATTTTTCTTTTGTAGTTAACACTGGATTCTATAAATGGGATGAATTCTATCTTTGTGTTTTTAAAAAACAAAATAGCACAACACCATTTTAGAATGGTTTCTTTTATGTTTCTAAAACACCAGAAATGAATGTCATACAGTATTTCTCACTAGGCTTTTGTGATGGAGAGCATGTGTATTTGTACATGCATTCTTGGCCTGGGTAGGTAAACCCCCAAAACAGTGCTTTAAAAATAATGACCAAGGAGAAAAAAAAAATCACTGATTGAAAAAAAAAACTCCTAATACTAATCCTGGCTGAGAGATTAGTCCTAGATCCTATCCACAAAATAAACAATATTATGTAACCAAACTGAATAGCTTTTCAAGATTAACAATGAAGCACACATTACCGTTCTACTGCAAAACAAGTAATAGGGTGTCTATGTTGTATAATAATGGGAGTTAATAGTTTATGGCCCATGGTATAACTGAAGTTTATGGCATTGTAAAATGCACTTTAAAAAGCTGCATAGTGTGTTCTAAATATCATTAATTGCTTTACACAAAAAGTCAAGTTGTTTAATCAATGGTGGCTATGATTTATAAGCGGTGAAGATACTGTAGTACTTAAAATAAAATTAGCTAATTACATACACAACTAAAATATGCAGGTATATTTAATGTATACCTCCTGACCTGTCTGAAAAATGCTGCAAAGAATTTCTAATTCTGACCTAATGCAAAGTTTGCTGTATTTTTCAGTTCAATAAGCATACACATTTCCAGTGAGGAAATTATAATGAATTCATGAATAAAACCTATTAGCATTTCATATTATACATAAGCATGAGGTGACCTTTGCTTTCTCGTTCTTTATTCTCGCTTGTATTTATCACTCAGGTGAAATGTCACAACTTACGGCAATATTTAGGGAAAGCAAGGCTTGCCAGAAATATTCAGTGTTAATGTACTTAACTACCGTAAAAGTGAGAGAATCATGTTTTCATATTATTATAATGTATTAGTACCATACTGTACCATCGGAAAGATATAAAGAGCTTTAATGGCAAAATGATTAATGTAGATTAATCTGTTCCTTGAGTGATGCATTGGTATTATGGTTTTATTTTGGTTGGTACCATAAGTTTATGTTATTTAATCTCTGCAGTAAGGCCTAAGATAAACTCTGACATACATAAAGTGAATATTAGTCACTTTTTAGGATCTGCTTGGTTCTGCATTGAGGAGGATATTGTTGATCAATGTACACAGTAATTATAGTTTCATTTTTAAGGGGTACCTTACCTTTGGATGGAATATAGAGTGCTGTAACATAGTGTGTCTTTAAAATTAACAACTTAGATTTTTTTGCAGTGATGTTACATATTCTAAAATATTCATATTCTAAAAATATAGCAATTACAGAAGAGTTTAATCGGGCATCAGATTACCTTTTTTCTTAGTATGTGGAATGCAACTAGACAAATACTCCTCATTATATGCATAAGAGGAGTATTACATAAATATACATAAATATATTTATGTATATTCATAGGAGAAGTGTTATGTTAGGCCCTTTAAGATGGGAACAATAATTAAAATAATGATTATTTTAAGAGACGTGCAACATTTTAGTGAAGACTGATGCAAGGAAGAGAAAACAAGTTCAGCTGCGAAAAACATTTTTAAGTTGCTCAAGATTTATTTTATTCAGGAAAACAAGCAACACTTAATAACCAACAGACTTTAAGGTCATCACTGTATTAATGTAATTTATGTTCAGTAGAGAAATACTGGGAAACCCAGGTGTATAGGACACACAGCGTCTTATATTTTTTTTAACTCAAATGGATGTGGTTCAGGTAAATGTTAACTTTTTTTAATTTTTGTATTGGCTGAGAAAAACCATTTATACAGTATATTATGTTTTTTTTTTCAGAAAATAAAAATGTTGTGTGGGAAAATAGACAAATCAGTAATAAATGCTGTGCAGACTAAATAATCTTCAATGAGAATCTTTTTAAGCTATAAATTGAAAATGCCTATAGCTGATAGTGCCACCTATTACATGAATAAGACTTTCTCCATTCTAGTGCTCCTAATCTGCAAAGCTGTGTAAAGGAGTGAGGCTGCACAGAGTTAAAGACCTGTTAGATTTAAGTCTGCTTGGATAGATTTTTGATTGTACCATTATAACAATTGAACTAACACTGTAATTACCTTGTAACTGTGTGGCATTTACACTTTGAAATACATGTGTATTTCCATATGAACCATATGACTCACATTGGATCAGCATTATGTAATTTAGGAACATAGAAAACATTAATGTGTACCAATATTTAAAAAAATATTGCTGCGCGGTTACACTTTTCAGTACATGCAATAACAATAATCATATGCCTAAACCTGTAATTTCACTATAAATTGAAATTACAGTATACCATCGCACAGATGCTATCTCCTGTGTCTTGGGTTACGATATCGTAATGCAGTTCCAGTGTCAATCATGTGATTTATATGTACAGTAAATTCATGAATTTCAAAGTGTAATTGTTGCATACAGTAATTACTAGGTAGTCCAAATGTAAATGGCCCTGTATTTTGATGTGTATCCAAATATATGACATCAAAATATAGTAAATGACCCACACTGGAGCTCCCCACTGCACCTACCCCCCCCAAAAATCCAAAGTTGCTATGGGCCGTTACTGTACATCCAAACTTAAAAATGAGAGTTCACCCACCAAAGTGCACTTTTCAAACTACATTAGAGAAACTTCCATTTCCACATGTACTGAACGTAGCCAATGTAGCATTGACTGCAGGTCAATACAATGACTTAAAGTTTATTACCAGAAGTAGTTATATTGTATACAGTACGTTATCATTTCTACCCCCCCCAGAAACTCCTGCCATGCCACTAATTAATGGAATCACATCCTTCACATAAATAACTGTTTCTACAATTTGGGAATTTGATATAAAAATTTCTAAAGAGCAATTTTATAGTACATTTTTGATTGTGGTTTTATTATGATTTGTTACCTAACCGCTGTAATGTGATCATCTGCCAAAAATTTGTTAAGCTCTGTAAATACCCAGACAATGCTCTGCCAATAAAAGTTTTAACTTTTTTCATCTGTATTTTGTGCAACATTTATACATTTTGTAATATATGAATGGTCATATTTCTGTGGATTATTTTGTGAGTCTGCAAACCTGAACAAAAGCTTGTTATATGTCATAACATGCATGCTAAAGAATACAGAACCATTGTCAGGCTGAACCAATACTCACTGTAAGTAATGGACTGATTTGCTTCATGTTTCCACATGAATTATTGTAGCTGTCCTACATAATCTCCTATATTGAATCCATGAATCGTTTGCTTTAATTTAGATTATCTATGAAGTCTACACTTTAGAATTTAAAGATAAAATAACTTGAATATTCTTTGTAAACACTGCCTAGGGGTGACCTTAATTGATAGAAATGCAGTTTCTGTTGTTCATACTTAAATTAAGCTGGAAGGACTGAGAAGTGGGAAGCTGGGCTGTATTATTCAATTGGCACAGCAGGCACTGTGCTTAGGGCATTTGCAAACACACACAAGCGTGCGTGAGTGCATGTCCTGTGATATAAAGGTGTCCCATCCAGCAGCCATATCACCCTGCAACTCACTGAAGCTCAGCAGGTGTGAGCCTGGAAAGTACCTAGATGGGAGACCTTCTGGGAAAAACTGAGGTTGCTGCTGGAAAGGGTGTTAGTTTGGCCAGTAGGGGGTGCTTGTCCTGCAGCCTGTGTGGGACCTAATGCAGTATAGTGCAAAAAGGCATTGTCCTTTTGATGAGATGTAAAACTAAGGTCCTGACTCTCTGTGGTTATGAAAAATCCCATGTATGGGTGGCCACGTCCTGGCCAAATTTCCCATTGGCCTTTACCAATCATGCCCTCCTAATAATCCCCATCTATGAATTGGCTTCATCACTCTGTTCTCCTCCCCACTGATAGCCGATGTGTGGTGATCGTTCTGGCACACTATGGCTGCCTTCACACCATGCTGTACATTGCTGGTGGTAGAGGGGAGTCCTCATTACCTGTAAAGCGCTTTGAGTGGAGTGTCCAGAAAAGTGCTACGTAAGTGTAAGGAATTACTATTATTGTCCCATCCAGGGTGTATCCTGGCTTGTGCCTGTTGCTTGCAGGGATAGACTCCCCTGCAACTCCCCTGCAGCCCTGTATTGGATAAAATGGTTAGAAAATGGTTGGAGGATGGATGCAGGTACAGTATATAGGTCAGGTGGGTAGCTGTATCAGCATGCGTAGGTTGCAAAGGAACAAGTAATATGTTTATTCCATGCGGAAAAGAGAAGAAAGAAAACACAATATTTCAGCCATGGAGACCTGAAGTAGGCTCTATGGACGAAATGTTTTCTTTCTTCTCTTTTCAGCATGGAATAAACCTATTACTTGTTTCTATGGCAGGAATAGGCTATTCAAACAAATATCCAACATAATTTTGATCAACCACATAATCATATGGATTGATACACTCATTAAAATGCATCCGCCATAGGGCCTACGAAACAGAAGTGCCTGGGGCCTACAAGGACATTAATGTGGACCTGCTTGAAGGAGGTTAAGGAGCTAACCTGTGACCCTTGGCCAGAAACCTGAATGTGAAAGGCCCAGCTTTCTTTTTTTGCAGTTACAGCCCTCTTCTTTTGCTGCCTATAAACGTTTTGTCTTGGGGTTGGGCCAATATAATGCCACTTTAATCATTAGATTAGCTATTGAAGTAGCTGTCTGAATCACATTTAATCTACTTACTCTATGGATCAATTAATGAGCTGGTGAGGCAGGATGGTTCCTTTAAAGATTCTTAATGGGCTTGCAATCATCCCTGCAGGTTATTCATTTCAGTTCACAGACAGCTTTTTCATAGTTGGAATAGCACGGCAATAAAAATTATTTTTATTTAATCGTGTGCTCTTCAGAACATTAGAACAAGACTACAAAAGACAGGAGGGCATTTGGCCCGTCTAGCTTGTTGGGTAATTAGTAGTTAATTGATCCAAGGATCTCATCCAGTCATTTCTTAAAAGAAGCAGGGAATCAGCTTCAACAACATGTAGCATTTTCCATACTCCCCCAAGCCTTTCATTCAGGTACGACTTGAAAAAAATTAACTTTTAAGGTCAGTATGGTGGAGGTAACTCATAGAATTCTCCCTATATTAGCATTACCTTAGAGTGTTGATAAACCGGTAGCTTATTTTATAGAAAATGTACGAGAAAGTAAATTAGCTCTTGAAAACAACATTTGCTTATTATTTTTTCAATTCCAGTACATCAAATTGAAGCAGTTTTCTAAATGCTGAAGAAATATTAAAATATTTCACAACTGGTTTATGTAATCTCTAGCCCTAAGACACCAAACGCCCTCAAAATTCGTACAAACTGGATGCTTTTCTACAGGAGCGTTACATCCCAGTCCCTAATTGCAGAAGAGATTTTTCCAAAGACTTACCTTAATTAGCCAGTTATAAATTAAAGGTCTTGTAGCAGGAAAGAGACTGAAGAGGTCTGATCTATTTAATACACAGTAATTATCCTCTGAAATTATGACATCATTTTTTAGAAAACGGGTCTAATCCTGGAGCATAGGACTGGACAAAATAATCACTTTAATCTGGTGCATTCAATAAACTGAAACAATATATTTTGTTTCAAAACTATAAAGCAGTGATTGACAGAAAACATACAAAAAATGCCAAAAACAATATGTGTCCATATGACCTAGTAAAATAGACTAGATCTTTCATTAAACATTAAACCATGTTCATATATTGACTGTTATTGCACCACTTACAGTACATTGCACCACAGTTGCAGTCTGTGAAACAGAACACATTTAGTCATAAATATTTTTCCTCCCTGTCCACAAACAGTATTACACACTTATGCTGTCAAGAAAGCAAGGAAACACTGACACGTTACACAGTTATTTAAAACAGCCCAGAATTGAAAAGTTCCAACAAGCTGTGTTTTATCACTGAAGCAGAACACTGCTAGTCATAAGAAGAAACCAGCAACATGAAATACTATGTGATGAAGCACCACCCGTCTTTGCAATCTGACGCTCAATGCAATACATTTTATATGCCCCCTCTTAGTTTGCAAATTTAGGTTAGAGTATCAAAGCATAAGTCACAGTCTTCTTTCACGAAGGTTTTATGGAAATGAGTTTCATGGAACCTAATCCTTTCAAATAAAATTTATTAATCACACAGGTTTAACACCTGCAGCAGCACTGCAGGCCAAAGTAAATTCATTTATTTTGTTCAGTAGGGAATAATGCTTAGTGAGATGTATTGAGCACCCTATCTCATTAAGTGTGCTTTGCAGCTAAAGCTCAGGTCTTCAGAGAACCAATCTTCAGATCATCCAGTGTAGAGACCCCAACAAGAGAGACAAGTTCTGATCACAATTCAATGGCTGCATTAGGAAGGCAAATCCATTTTTTCTATTCTAAAGCACATTGTGTTTTCTATTCTTTGTGTGTTATATTTTCATATCCTGTCTTTAATGCTTCTCAGCAATATTATATTTCCAAGAAAGTTGGCTTGAAAATAATTACATACTGTATGACAAAGTCAGAACATTTAAAACTCAGTAGAAGTTAATAAGACTACAGCACTCTCATAAACTACTCAAAAAACAGTTTTGAAATCTCTCATCCTAGCAAGTATTATTCTTTATTTTGCAGATAAACTACTGAAAATAATACTGTATACCCTATTGTGGAAATGGTCTAATTGGAAATATGGAATCAAAGACATTAAGAATGAGAGCAAGGTCAACAATAAGCTTTTTTAGCGGCCTACCTCCCATAATGTTAGCCTGTTGCCTTTCTCATCCATTATTAATCTTCAAACTGGCCTGAATATGACAATTCTCCTAAATGCAACCTCAGCTCTTAACTGGAGCTGTCAAAGAACAGGTCATCACTCAGTAGTGACACTGGTAGCTGCTGTCTGTTTCTCCTGGTTAAATACAGAATGTGCTGTGCTGCATATTTATTAAACCCCTCAAAAAGAGTGCCTGTCACTAGGTACAACATGGAAGCCCAATGAATTTTTCACTGTGATCAAATGACTTTAAATTTCAAATTGATTTCTCTTTTTCACTCATCTCTGTCACTCTGCTAACATGTAGAGTAAAATAAAGGAATTGAATTGATATACAGTAGCAACTGCTGGAGGTTCCTGAAGGACAATACTGTGCACAGCAAATTAAAAGGGAAGGCTTCAATGTGTCCTTTATAATATCTACTTAAAAAAAAATGTTTTTGAAAGCAGTGACCTATTGCAGTGAGACTGCTTCTATAATAATAACACCTTACATTTCTAGTGTAACAATAGTGTTATCCACACATCATAACATACACTAATACAAAAAAGATCCATACAACTGACAATCTTAACAGTTAACAGCATAAACATGCTAGAAAAATTAAAACACAATATGTAAACTTTATGGGAACATTTCTTTTACAATAAAGGAAACTGGCAAACATCCTTTAACACAAGAAGCATGAGGACAAAATCTTTATCTCATATAACTCAGAATGCTGTAACAATAGTTATTGGAACCAACTTGTTTCATTATACTGTTTTTTAGTAATATGAGATATTAAAATTGTACTTCCAGATACTCACTGTTATCTGTTAATCTACACAAAACTATTTTACTGCCCACGCCTAGAATTCAAACAATGAGCTCATAGGTTTTTAAGGTAGGGCAAAAGCCAAGTGTATATAAAATAATACATATAAAATTGTTCAGAAAGCTACAGGAGTCCAAAGCCCTGTATTATACAACTATACATGAGTCTGATCTGCCTATACCAAAAAGTGTATCTGAGAAAAAGTGGATGAAATGACATTTTAAATAAAACAACTGCTAGTCAGTTTACTTTTTCTTTTCCTCTTGCAAAACGTTATCCAAAGGAAAAATCATAAAAAAGTAATCAGGAAAGAAAATGTGTTTCTAAAGAAACATGCAGAGTCTTATTTTACAGAATAAACTTTGCAAAACCTGTTTTTATGTACAGTAGATATATGTATACAGTAACATTTTTTCTGCATTTTTTTTTACCTAAACCAGAATACTTTAAGACAAATAAAATAAACATAATGTACCCAGGATTTAGAAAAACAAGGAAACTAAGGATTACTAAGGATTACTTCTGATGAATGTTGCAATACTTTAGAATCTTATCTTGTTTGACTTGACTCAACTGGCTTTACTACAATGCAAACTACGCAAACTACCGCCACTGTACCTTAACCTTTAAACAACAACATACGCTGCATTCAAAATAACCCTTATCAAACAATAGGTTCAAATTCATTTCACATGATTTAGAATAACACTACAATGAGTTTCAGCAATAGAAAAGCTGCATTTGAAGTGCATTTATTTTTCAATCTGGGCACTCCAAATAACTGTTCAAGTGCTCTGTCTAACAGTTTGTGGTAAAATATGTCCTTGTCACACTTATTTACTGGAGTGCTCTTCTGAAGCTCAGCAGATGCTTTCGAATAAAAGTTCTTTGCAATGGCACTCGAAAACATTCGCTGTGACTGTCCTGTTTTTGTGAACGGGAAAGTGTAATGAATGAAACACTTTTTCGAAAGCTGATGTTTATGTAGCAATTTTCAATACTCTTCATCAATGAGTACTTAAAGCAACCTGTGCTTTAAACAGGAAAAGGGGAGCTACAGTATAGAGCATTCTGACATTACCCATAAGGTCTATAGCCTAGAAATGCCCACAGAAAATATATAAGTCAGTCAGAAATTTCAAATGGGTTCCTTTATTATTGTTCTTTTATTGGGTAATATAACAGTAAATCAGGTCTACCATCAATTTAATTAATTTATGCAGTCCTACTTTACTTGTTCTGAATACATTACCACACTAAGCACAGAACAGGTCAACTGAGAATGTTGGGAAACGGACAGCTTAGGCATAAATCATCACAGCAAGATGAGCTTAAGAAACACAGCACAGCTTGTCAAACAAATATTATCTGTCAATTATTTCCCTGCTAAAGCTGTCCTATTTGGAAACAAAAGGCACTAAATTGTGGGTTTTGTTAAGCTATAGCTCATCACACAAATTCCCAGATGGTTCATTCCCAGATGGTGAAGCAGCCCAGGTTTGTAATTCCTCAGTTGGGAAGTATGTGTTAGTGTGGTCGTGAAGAGGGTTAATAAAAGACCATGCATTGTCAAAGGCTGCCCTTGGCCTCTATCCCCATCTGCAGCACACAAATCACAAGCTGAGGTCATTGCCTCCTAATGACTTGAAACAACTGTCCACAAACTCGTCTGTCACTTCTTCCAGGGCTGCTGGCCACCACTTTGGGCTCTGATCCTTGTCGATGAGCACTGTGGGTACAAAAGCACTCTGTCAGGTATTTGTCTTACAAGCGATGTTACTGTATTACTACATTTCTCATTATTTAGCTGCCTTCTTAATGTGAGTGTGTCTCAGCCCACGCTTTAAACTGTTGTGTCAATACTGCTGGGAAAAATAAAGATGCAATGTCACAATGTTATTAAGGGGTGTACTGTTAGAATATTCTGTGCTACCAAAAGGTACATTGAAAATCAAAGGTCTGCAGAGTGTAAATTAAAGGCTGAATGAATTGCCTCTCTAAGTAAATAGGATCTTTAGTTCTAGTTTGTTCAATCCTGCATTGAAATATGTCAATTAAGGAAAAATCCTCATATATAATCCTAATAAAGTATAATAATATACAGTAGCCTCAATATTGATTTTTCCACAGATGGTAATTGGAGCAACAATGAAAAGAGAACTTAAGTGCTTGCTCACACAACTAGAATATGGAAAAATTGTTTTTAGCACTGAAATGAGGTACAGTATAAGAAGACAGCCAATGTTCACATAATACTGCTCCTGCCATATTTAAAAAGCAAAAAAAAAACAACTTCAAAAATCCAAACAAATTTTTGAAAAACTAGACGTTTAATTCAGATGTAAGCAAAATCAAAACAAAGTAAAACAACTGTCACATGCTTTACACCACTTGTCAAAAATTTGAAAGTACTGCAAAAAAGATCTTATTTTAAATTGGAAATAAAGCATATATATTTATAAAAAAACATATACAGATACTCTTTTTTAAGCCATGCTCAAATTTAGCACAGCTGTAGGCATGCACATTTAAACATTTAGCACTGCTTCACAAAGACCAGCATGCAGGTGAAATACAGATGTCTGAAGTGGGTGACACAAAAATGGAAACTTACCAGCTCTTACTCCTTCATAGAAATCCTGACCCCTCTACAAAGAAAGCAAGAAGACAAACCAATCACAAAAATTTGTAGCACAGTAGTCAGATTGGGTTTCTCCTGGAAGCATTAATTATTAAACAGGATTTGGAGGTGTAATGTGAAGGGACAATCAGAAAAAAAGAGTTACAGTATGTTTATGGAAAACAAACCTAGGAATGGGAACTGAGAAAACTGCAAACAAAAAAAAAGCCAGGGGTTTTTCTTCACAGCCTTATTAAATATAATAACCATAGAAATGTTAAGAGCACACAACACAAAAACAGATGGGTGAAAGGAAATGCAAGTCAAATATCCCGAATGGTCCTTGGTTCTTTCTACCTACCATGCAAGCCTGGCTGAGTCTGTATTCCATCACAAGCACATCCTGTAAGCTCATTGAGGCTCCAGCCTGAAGCTGTCTGAACGTAATCTTTAGAGATGTAGGAGACATCTTTGAAAGGGTCTGTATGAAAAGAAAGGACAGGATACAAGTCTGAAAGACACAGCTTGAAAGGAAACAAGACTGTACTCATCACAGGCATTCGGCACCTAAAAGGTAGGAAGATCAATATGTGATACTTACTGAGACAAGGATGTTTCCACATCCTATTAACTGTCAATTATATCAAATGCATCGCAGGTCTTATTTAGTTACAGTGACTAGGGTAGGGGTGTCTTGGCCAAATTTCACATTGGCCCTTACCAATCATGGCCTCCTAATAATCCCCTTCTATAAATTAACTTCATCATAATGGTGTGTGGTGAGTGTACTGGCACACTATGGATGCCATGCCATCATCCAGGTGGATGCTGCACATTGGTGCCTTGAGTCGAGTGTCCAGACAAATGCTATATAATTGGAAGGAATTATTAAATATTATTAACCCCCAGTTTGTCACTGGAATTTGTTATACAATAATCTAACAGAGCTTTGCCTGGTGTAAACCTGTAGAATTTTATAACACAATAAATTAATATAGTAAATTATGGATTAATGGTTAGAGGTTCTGGTTTTGAGAACCTCTCAGATTGCTTATTACAGTATTCAGGTTAATACCAAAAATACCAGACATGAGCACAAAATTCAGACATAAGGGTTGTATTATTGAATGATCACATATAAAGTTGTCTGTGATTCATTTTCAGCCAACAAAACACCAGTAATAGAAAAAAAGGCACCAAAATATTAAAAAAATGACATATTCTTTGTCTGAAAATATAAAAAAGTAAATGAAAATGTATGTTAATAAGTATCTATAATCAGATTGGTCTTGTACACCTAATCGTTTCTTCTTGAGAGCCAATCAGTTCTAGCCCTTGCATTTTTGGTAGGGAAAAGACACATAAAACATGATGAAAACTCCTCACAGACCCTGACACCTGAGGTTAATATCAAACCCAGGACTCTGAAACTGTCAGACAACAGAACTAACTGTACCTCAGTGCTGTTCTGAGAATGATTAAGCAAATAAATATTAATGTATTCATCAGATTTAATTACAATTCTACATAAAAATATTTATTTTCTTGATATTTACTTTATAATATGACCTTAGATACATAATCCATACAGGATATGTATGATATTTAGTTACAGGTATCCAAGGAAGTGACATCACAGAACACCCATTGACATTGTCACCGGTGATGTCACTGTGGAACAATTGAAGAAGACTGACAAACAAATATTTTTATCAGTCTGAATAAAGAGCCATTATGAGAACATCTTGCTCTTTACAGTGTAGCCCTTGCAATTTGACTGGAGCTAATTTTGATACACAAACTAAAAAGAAGGCTTCTCCACTGCATGGCACTGGTAGAGTCGAAAGATCAGAGAGGAGACAAAGAAAAACTGGGGAAAGGAGAAGAAGGGAGAGGGAGAGGTTCAGGATAGGAATGAAGGTCCCCAAGAAACAAAGAAAAGCTCTGAGGGAGAACAACAACAGGAGAGCTGCTGACTGTGTAGCTAGAAGAGCTGGTGTTGAGAGTGAGCTATCACAAGCAAAACCCAGGGGCAAATGCAAGTCTTCTATTCAAAGCCTAGCCAGTGTGAGTCTCTGTGAAGCCTCTGAAATGAAGGCTACCTGCATGGTTCTTGATTATAAAACCACAATCCACAACCAAGAGAAAGAGGAAAATAATGATCAAAATCATCAAACAGATGACAAGCAGAAAGAAGAGAGACAGAATTTGAGTGTGGCAGAACAGGAGAACAGAGCCTGCACAGCATCTCACCAGGAGAAGGTGGACAGTCCTGAATCTCCAAAGGAACCTCACTCAGAGGACAAAATCATCCCCTCAAAGATCCCACTGAGCACAGAAGAGAACACTGGCAGTGAAATAACAAAATAAAGAATTCTAGAGAAAAAGCAGAGACATCTAAAAAAACAACAGCAGTCAAGGCAATAAAAGCCAAAAGAAAAATGTAAAAGACAATGAATGTAACATTGAGAATAATAGTGCTGGAGAAGTTGATAGATCTACAAGTGGAGAGTATGGTGATGAGAAAAAAACAGCTCTGAGTGAACAGCCAGTGAAAGACAGACACCAAGTCCCACTGAAGACTCTATAGTCCAGCTACCACCTTTCAACTCAATGTTACAACAAAGCTTGGACTCCCAGGCCTTCCTTCAGCAGCAAGAGCAGGAGGGGGAGATGAATATAACCCCCAGCATGCCCTTCACTCCTGTGGCAAAGAATGATTTAAAAGAAATAACAGACAAGTCTGAAAAGAGAAGGAAGAAAAAGAAACACAACAGCCAAAGGCAAGCTGAGCTCAATGACAATGAAACAAACCATGATAATCAGTGCACAAAAAAAAGGCAGTAGAAAAGACAGCAGAGACAAAATTGATTGAGGATCCTGTCAGTGTTGTCACTAGGGACATGTGAGAATAACTGGTCGGACCCTATGCTGTGCTGAGGGAGTATGTTGAATGAGTTAGGTGTCCAAATCCCAGGAGCGAAAGGCAGAATATGATGTCGAGATAGGAAGGCTTGGTCGGGTTTCCAGAGTGTCAGGTTGAGAGTATCCAAATCCAAAAGACACTAGACAGAGACGAAGTCGAATCCAGAGATTGAACAGGGTCGGGTATCCAGAAGTCAGGTCAAAATGGTACGCGCACAAGAGAAAGTCAAAAGTCGATCTCAACAGTGACCAGGGACTGAGAGGAGTGAGAGGGTATAAATAGGAAAAGGCGTGAGAAGTAATAATAGATCAACTAGTCCACAGGTGTTGATGGCGAGAGGTGCACGTGGGAATATGGTTCGTGCCAGATCCCATGTCCACTCAGAGTAACAAGGACAGGTCAAACTCCCCAGACAATGCCAATCAAAGCCCCTCTGAGCCCCAAAAACGACGGAAGAGAAGGAGGCTCCAAGGTAGAAAGAAAAAGAAAGACCTGGAAGCAGAGAAGCCTGTCCCTCTATCATCAGTAAGAATTCCTTTAAATGGGGAAGGTGAAGATGGAATAAATGTTGGCAGGAGAAGCCCCTCACTTCCTCCAGAGCCCCTCAAAACAAGAATGAGAAGGAGACTCTGAGGTAAAAAGAAAAAGAAAGATTTGATGACAGCCTCTCCTTCAGAAATAATGCTCAGTAATGTAACAGGGCATGACTCGGCAAAGCACCTAGACAGGAGAGAAATGCAGCAGATGTCCCCTGAAGAGAGTGAGCAAAAAAGAACAACACAGGAGAAGAAACTGAAGATAATGGCAGGGACAGAATGGGAAAGGGCAGGTGTACTTGAGCCCAAGTGCCTGAGGGAAACGAGGTCGAGCAAAAACAATCTACCTCACACAATCTTCCAAAATGTGCCATAAGAAGTGGTTGGGATACAGAGTCCATTTTGACTTCTCACTCAGAAAGCCACCCAAACGCACCGCCTCATAATGGCCACTCAAGGAAGAGATGCACAAATACGTTGAGCAAAAAGGAGTCCATTGTGATTGCAGAGCAAAAGGATGTTGGTCAGCAACAACGTTCAACTCAAATTAAAAACCCACTAGAGGAGGAAAGTCGAGACAAAGACTGGTGTCTATCTGGGTCAATTCCCACATTCGTTTTCTGGAACAGTCAGGTGAAGGACAGAGATTGGGAGACGTGGTCTTTCTGTCCTGTGCAGGTCACAGTCTGCTCCTCTGTACAGTCTCCTCCCAACAGCAACAGTGACAAACATATAAAAACACAGAAGCATAGATCGAGAGCAGATCGCCAACAGGCCAATTCAGGGCTGTGGAAGAATTTGGCCCTAGGAGAGGGAAAGCACAGCTTCATCACAATGTATCCAGGTAAACAGGAAATAAAAAGGGACACTTGAGAAAAAACTTCAGAAAGAAAGCTAGACAAGTCAAAGCTTTGAACAGAAAATAGAAGAATCTTGTATGACTTTTTCAGAGGTAGTGAGAAAACAGCCCAGGGCTGATGCGATAAAGTACTCCAGTAGGCCTCAGAAGTGAAACCCTGGACAACAGGCTTTGACTAAGCTGGACAACACATACTGTAACTAAAATTCTAAAAGTAGCTATTTAATTCATTTCATATCAGGAAATCAGAATCAGAATTTTATTTTAAATTAATTATGTCCTCAAATATACAGTATTATAAACAATAATAATATCCTGATAGAAATACATTTAGATTAATCATAAATGAATTCTGAGATAATAGGTATAAGGTATGACAGTAAAATTAACCGCTAACTACTGTACCATATAGTCCGCAGGGGCATTATGGGCTCTTTTTTGCAAGGTTTCTTGCATCAGCCATGAATTGTTTTAAGATTCCACCTACAACTGTAGAATGAGAAGATGCTGCCATACTCCTCCACAGTCCCAAAATCCACTCATACTGTAACACACCACCCTGCCTTGGGGAGTTCATTCTGACTGGAAGAGCGGTCTCACTATAAGACTGCAGACAACCAAGAAGCCACTGTTTAGCAGGATCCGAAGGAGACCCATCCACATCCTTTTCTCTGTGAGAATCCCTCTCAGTGTCAACTAGTGACAAGAACCAGGTCTGAACTGCTGATACCACAGCCATTGGCCTCAAACACACTTTGTGCAAACACCTTTGCTGGTTCAGTCAATTAGAAGCCATGGATGTGTTTTAAGTATAAGTGCCGTAACTATACCTACTGCAAATATATAAATGTAGTGAAATTAAAATCCAGGCAGTTAATTAGTAATTTAATGCTTAATCTTAAAACTCTTAGTAATTTCTGCTCCATTGCTAAAGACTCCATCCAAGTATGAATTGATATACTGTAGAAGTCAATGTCATTGTGACAGGGTCATGTTTTGAACAAGTTTACAAAGAAGAAATAAACTCCAAAGCATTTTTTTAATAGTTCAGTATAGCTTTGTATTTTGCATACAGATATAAAAGTGGTATTAAATAGTCACTGATGCAGCTTCATATCAGTTTCTTCCATTTCATTCTAATTCCTTCATTCATGAAATTAGTTACTGTAATACATTTTTGAGGGTTTTTTCAATTTAGGGTTACCCAGAAATATCCCAAAAATACCATGTGTATATAACTGTATTACTCAGATGTAATACAGAAATAAAATTACTTTTTTTACAAAGAAAAAGAGAACTTCTATAGAAAAGCAAAGCTGTAGAAGTATAGCACAAGACTGGTGGACCCTTTAACCCCTTCAGACTAATGAAAGGCAGTTCCTCTCAATGCAAACAAGGTCTATTATACGGTAGGTTACAAACACAGGCTGTCAGATATTCCTTTATAAAATGTGTTAAATGTGGATTCTAGGCCTCATTCAATTATTTATTAACATTTCAAACACCTTTGTGTCATTCTTATCATATTCTTATCATACAAATATACTGTATGCTTTATCACATTAACAGTCAGTGAGTGCAGTTACAAGTGAAAGGAGGAAATTTGCCATGACCCCTTAACAAGATTAAGTATCTTTTTAAGACTGCTTGGATGGAGAGTGACAACTCTGATTTTCTGTACAAAAAACACTGCTTTCTGAAAATTGATTCTAGCATTTTAAACCTTGTAGAGTCATTTTTGTAGAGCATCAGTAAATACTCAATGTGAGGTTTCTAGATCTACCACACAGATGTGTTCAGCTCTATTCCAAACATTGTAACTTGTGTAATTTGTGCCACTTCTCTGAAAACTTGAGATGTATTTCATGCTCTATTTTGTGTTTCATTACAAAAATCAATAAAAGAACTAGACATTTCATATTTCTGTGTACAAGGATCCTGATAGCTAGTAATGTAGAAATACAGTACATAATCAAAAGCACCAATCACTACAACTGTTGTAGCAATTGGAGCTACAGTATAGCAAGAACTGTAGCTGTTAACACAGGTGTTGGATAGAATCAGTTCTAGTTAAATGGCTTTTAGAAACTGCAGTACCATACACAATATAGAGTGGATGTTGCACATTGGTGGTGATGGTGGAGAGTCCCCATTACCTTAAAAGTGCTTTAAGTTGAATGTCCAGGAAAAAGTGCTACATAAGTGTAAGGAATTAATTAAGTAAAGTTACACTCAAGGGTGACAGGACTGAATGCATTCACTGGGCAATCAGAAAAAGAGATGCCAATGTGTGTTCAGTACAGTATTGTGACGGACATTGACAAACATCTGAATGTCTGGCTGGGCATATACAGTAGCTAGAAATATGACACGACTGACTTGGGAAAGTATTTTCTAGTCAGTCATTTTCATTTCATCTCCTTTCTTCTGACGATGATGTTTGATAAAGTAATAACTGGCTTTCATTTAGCGAGACAGAAATGTGAATGTGCCAGACACTAACGAGAAATGGTTTATAAACGGCAATTAAATTTTCACACACCCCTGCCATTTAGTAGCGTCTGCACATCTACAAAACAATTAAAGGTGTGGGCTGCCAGCATCTATATGGCCATTTAATAACACATTAATCATTCACCAAAGACATGAAAGCTTGAAATATACAAATTCATTTGATTTAAGAAAATGGATAATGTCATCTCCAACTAAAACTTTATATTAAGGCAGCCATTAAGTTTTTCCTCCTTTTCAAACAGTATCATCAGATTCCCAAGCAAAGGCTTTATTTTAAAATGTCTCATTGAGCAATTGCTTACAATTTCAACATTTATACCAACAGATCAGTTGTCTGGGACACCAGAATGAAGGTGATATTTCAGCTGTGTATCTCTAATTGCACATCTCTTTAACCAGCTATGAGATTTGTCACAGTTAAAAGCTGAAAGTTATCTGTATTTTCTGAGTATCTGAGTATTATATTCTGTGAAAGATGCACCACCATATTAATTAAATCAGTGCAAGCTGACCCACCTCAAACTGCTTCTGTGCAAAAGAGGAGCCATCCTTTTTCAGTTTCAGCTTTATTTCCTCTACACTGCTGGCTTCAAACAAGCTGCAATTTAAGAACAATGATAAAAAGTAATTGTTTTTATTAGTTTAGTCTTCCAAAGTTCATATTACAATTGGTTTTACAAGTATAAACGATTCAGCAACTTCCACCTGTGTCTTAGCACTCCATTATAAGAGGATATCAAGCACGAATATTAAGGTTTGCATGCTGCACTTCACTAAATTCTGAAGCAGGGATAAATAGGTGAAACACTTCCTACTCTCCTCAATTGAAAAAATCAAATTTGTTGAGAGACTGATAACACACCATATATGTAACTTAAATCTGATTATGGGTGCAGAATTGAAGAAGATCAAGACGTACAGCCAAATATTTTCCTCTAAGCGCTGCACTCCACTTTCTTTTACTTAGATATCTAACAGAAATCCCAAACCATCTTAATCTGCGACTCCAAACGTTGAAAACATGCAAATGTGTTCCTACAAATATCCTTTAGGCCATTCACTAGACCATATCTACAAAATTAAGAGAACTAATAGAGTTGGGGGCAGGTGCTGTAAACCTCTCCTTTTGAAACCAGTGAACAGATTCACTTAACAAACCAGAGAATTAAGCTTGAAGAGCAAATACAATTTGTTCATTCTCTATTAAAAAAAAAGATTATTCAAAACAAAGAATATTCCTTTCAAAAAATGAAAAGCAATGCTTCCTTTCTCACCCAAGTCTAAAAAACAAAAGAAAATCTGAGATGTAAGAGAGTGAAAGGCTCACACTTCCGTACTACTGTATCTGCGTTTGTGTTTACCAGAAGATGGCTGGTCAAGTCTCTCTCAGAAATTATCACTCCCTGAGATGCAAGCCCCTTATATCAGAACACAGAATCAATTTCAATCTCTGCACTGCAAACAGGGACCCTAGAGACCTATTTGGCTCAGATGCAGTGTAAATGAACAATATTTCAAAAAAGAGTATCAGTATTGATGCACAATCCCCCTAGAAGGGCCCCTAAAATCTACAAGTGACTTTCATTTGTGGCACAGCAGCCCAGTATTAGAAAATATAAGCCATGGCTGTGATAACTGAATAAAGCAACGAGTTCTCAGCAAAAAGGTTGCTGTTGGAACAAGCAGGTTATTCAATTAGCAAGCACCTCTTTCATCAATTAGTTAGCAGCTGGGGATACAGCAGCCGCTGCTAGCCATTAAATCAGTCTTCATAATCAAAGTAATCTAATTACTATGTGAATGGAGGAGAACTTAACATTTAATTTGCATTGTAGGGCTTAGCAACGAACGGTGACTATGGTACAGCACAGTATATCACTAACATAAAGTCATACATGCTTCAGCCAGGCTCAACTCCCATTGACCATGTTGAATGTGTGGAGTGAGTTCGAATCTGGAAGAAACCTTTACAGATCAGTGATTCCAACCAATGCATGGGATCACATGAACATTTCCTGTGTAGAAAAGGATGTGGAGAAACACTACATTTCCTTCTGGTTCTTATAGCTGTGAGCAGCTAAGTACTTTTCCTTGGTAAGTAGAACAGAAACAGTTTTGAAAATGACTAATACAATGGTCAATTTAATTCTGTGCCTGGCAGTTTTAGTGGTGTGTATTGTGTGTACAGGATATTCTGAGTCTTGTCTGTTTCTTTGTGGTGATTATTAAGTTTTCCCATTAGGATAGAGATTGAGGACACTCATTTAAACAGAGGTACACTCACTAATTGCTGCATGAATGTAAAAACAATATTTTGAGGGGATCCGGAATGACCTAACCAGTCTAATTACTTGTTCAGTAGACCACAGGTTAAACCCTGGAGTGAAGACATCAGTGGTTTGAGTCTGAACTATGTCACATGTGGACTATATTTACAACCGGGACTCTAAAAGTGGCTTCATACAAATGATTGAGCCCACCTTGGGCAGGACAGATTTGTATCAGGTACCTGTGGTTTGCTGGGCATTTTTGAGTGTCCATTTGATTGTAACTCTGCTCTTGGCACTGTGAGGCTTAGAGTGTCAAAAATGGTAGATATCTCTGACAGTGCACTGTGGCAGATGGCCCATTCAGAGGGTGTAACCCAATCAAAGCCACAAGAAGCCACCTTGGGAACAGCTGCAATGACTACTGTGTCATTGACAGGTCAACTACTGATACTGTAGTTCACCTGTGTTTGAGTTATTTAGTAACTGATTGATTGGAATACAGGAAAGTTTCACATTTGTCTGGGCATAAAAATCATTTTTGAGTCTCACTGCACATTCAGTTTAGAGTAGTATAACCATAAGTAACCTGATCTTGTAACATGAACTTGTCATAACTCAGAAGCTAAGTGAGGCTGGGCTTGGTTAATATACTGGATCAGGACAGCTCCAATGAAATACAGAGTACTGCATATAGTCTCAGTACAGTGTAGTAAATACAGTGGGTCAGTAGGAGGTGCTCTTTACTCTTGACTAGAACTGTAAAAAGAAAACAATGCCGTAGCCTGAGGCTCTGACTACTTGGTCATTGAAGATCCCACTTTTTCAAAACACTGGAGTTATTAACCCTTACTTCTAGTAAGGGTTGGATAAATTAAGCATTTCTAAAGCTTCTTCTTAATGGAATTGCTGAAGTAATTGCTCACTTCTCCACTTGAATTGGTGTGGTGGGGGCTGCTGGCCAGGTTAGTGCTACACTTCTCTGTTGCATGAAGTGGGTCAGCTTCTAAATGTAAGAGATCCCTCGGGATAAAAAGCGCTGTGATAAAAGCAATTAATTATTACATACTGCAGTAATACAGGCTTAAAAGGTGATAGGTGCCAACCCCCGGGGTCTGCTTCAAGTCTGATGTCATTTTAGTAGAATGAAATGTTCAGTGTTTATTCATTTTTTGCTTTGTTCTTTTTGTTTGATTATTGTGTGCAAGTACTTATAAATGAAGCAAAGGTCTCCCCCTGGACCTTTACAGGGGTGAAGCTAAGGTACAAAGGGCTCCCTCACTGTTAATTAAGCAGGGATCATTCACGGCCTATTCTGCACTTTTTTCCATCATGGCACAAGGGTGACAGTGGAGGGACACAGTGACAAGCCCTAAACAACTGGTGATTAAAAATAGGGTGATGCAAAAGGAATATAAATGGAGATTCCAAATTTTCCCATTACAAAATCACAAAAAATACAGGGTCAAAATGTTATAGTTAACAGCCCCATGAATGCTATCAAGTCTCCCTTTAATAAACTTTTTAAGGATTTTGGAAATATGCCCGCTCCTTCATTCAGAACGTCTGCTTGAGGCATTTCTGTGATATCTAACACCAGAGTGCTTGACTGTATTTCCAGCATGTGCTGTATAAACATGTCTGCAGCTCTGACTGTCTCCATGGCCTCTTAGCAAGATCTGAACTAAACCACAAAAAAGTGCTCTAGGTGAAAATCAATGATGCCCCTGGCATTCTCACATTCTGCTGATAAACACATGTTTTTCAGAAATTCCATATGTGACACTGAAGCCTGAAACTGAAGCCCTATTAACCTAGCAAAGTGCAGAAAACATATTTCTTTTTTAATTCCAACTAAGTGACAGAAATAGTTGGCATTTACTGTACACGGAGATCATTTGTTTTGCAGAGTTTCAAAATGAAAGGCTGACTAGGGAGAACAGGAGACCTGGTGGAAAAGTGTACCTATTGATCTTGTCCATGTGCTCTGAGAGAATGAACGGCTTCTCTTCATCAAGGTTGCTCTGTTGAGAGAAAGGGAGGAAAAAGTGAAGGCTTACTGAACAACACCACAAACAGGGAGGACATTGCCTGCTGAAAATTAGTTTATCGCAAATCAGAGGACTGCAGACATAGTCCTGCAGAAAATGTACTGTTCATTCTAAATTATTTCATTAAATGCTTGACTGGACAAATAATACATTCAATTACACCTTTTCAGATTTCTACAGTTGCTGAACAGCTGGAGATTGCAAGCTAATTTGACATTTTAAGTCACTCGAAGGAAGCTCTAAGAAAACTGGGCTCCTCATAACAAGAAAGCCCTGGAATAGATGTTTTCTTTGTTTTCTCCTTCTCAATATTCTGCAGGCTTCAGTCGAACTGGTCTCCTCTGTTTTCTGCCTTGCTTCTAGTCAGCTTATGACAATGAAAGTCATTTTATGAAACCTTTTAGTCTTAAACTAAGTGTCATGTCTCTTGGTTAGTTCTCTACATTATTTTTGGTAACATCCAATCCAGCATAATAATCGTATAAGCAGCACTGTATCAGCAATGGGCAAGTCAATTTGCATATTACACACTCAAATCAGTGTAGCTGTTTCCTGCTTTTGCTTTGAGAATGTCTGCAATGGATTATATATCTACTTCTTACCCCATTAATTACTTCAGAAAATAACATCTATTGCAAACACTTTCTCTTTAAGACACATTTTTTTTTACTAAGCTAGGCTAAGCAATGAACTCTCCTCCATAATGCTTATGACATATTCAACTAGCAAGAGCAAGATTTAATACCCAGACATGGCTACAATGCCATTAATGCGGATTTTAAATACTTTTTCATTTCAGATGATTAGAGTACCTGACATCCATACTCAAGGCACTTTGAGGGATAACGCTTTTAAATGCATAAGACTGACTTTTCTTTTCAATATTTGAAGACGAAACCTTTAAGAAGAGTTAACTGGAATTGGCAGCCAGATGTAAGAGCTCTGCTATCAGGTTTACCCTTTGACGTAGACGTTTATGGGACATTAAAGATGAGAAGTACTTATTCTTTCATGATAAATAATGAGTGAATGAGAATGAGTGGCATAAAACAACAACAAAGGGAAGTGCCTTGAACTTTGAACCACATTGATGGGGAAGAGAGTATTAAATGCTACTATAAAACAAGACCACAATGCATCCCTTGTACAAATACACATATATTTCTTTTAAGCTGTTACCCTAGCAACAGAGCAGGTGTTAGTGCTGCCACTCTAAAGAAATAAGATTAGGAATTTAACAGCAAAGAGTTTTCCTTTTAAGTTGTTGTTAACTCCTTTCAGGTTATTACCTGCTTTTGATATGAGTTTAATACCTCTGCAACATCCTCATTAGATGGGGCTTTTAAAACTACCAGATCATTCTCCAGGGATGTTATCTGTAGGGAGAAAGGAGAGAAGTTAAGAAATAAATGTCACAAAGGAAAGTAAGCTGATTTGTCACAGAGACAGCAATCCGGCCATCCAGCAACTAGAAAGGAAAGCCCACAGTGGCACAGAATGACATCTGTGGTTATTATCCAGCAAATTATAATTTTTAGAGTCTGTGGTTATATTCAGTCTTTTAAAACATCTGCCAAGATGCCCAACTTGGTTTTCTACCATAATTAAATGTAATTTGATCAACCATTTCAGGGGTTACTATATTGTTGAAATTAACATACTGAGATCCATCTGTCCATGATCAGAAACCCATGTATTCCTGGTTAAGAGTCACAGACACTCAGAGAACCTATCCCTAAGTACAGGAAGCAAAACAAAAAAAACTCAGAGACAGGATTTTAGTTCACTGCAGGGCACTGCAACAATAACCTAGGTAGCATGTCCTTGCGAAGTGGGAGGAAACAGGAGCACACAGAGAAAATCCATGCAAACCCTACACAGAGGGCTCCTCTATCTAGAATCGAACCTGGGACTCAAGCGCTGTGAGGCAGCAGTGTTAACTGCCATGCCACCATGCTGCACAAACTAGAATCACAGAGAAGGAAAAAACAACATGAGATCTAACAAATTCTGGGTAAGGGATACATTTAGGCTGAGACATCAGAAAGTGATAAGTACCCTCACAGGTAAAAAATCGGGACACAGAAGGATTAGCAACTAAAATGTTGTAATTTTTTACAAAAAGAACAATTTTACATACTGACTTGACCACTTGCATATCACAACTATTTACCTTGTCTGACAAAGAACAAAAGTGAAATTATTTTCAGCTATTCCCGGTGACTCTGAATACAACTGAAGATACTGTATGCATTCTTCATCATGACAATTCATCAATGGCAATTCATCTGTGTGTGACAGAGAAACTTAAAAGGAGGGGCTTCAAAAGCCATTCTGAAGCACGAGGTACTGTACAGTATGAACATACTCCTGCCACTCTTTGACACCAGCTTCCCTGGGAAGAGAATTGAGTCTGTGAAAAACCCAACCAATGAAAACCACTTAGAATGGCGAAGCTTCGTCATTACAGCTTTTGCAGATGGCTGCCGAACCGAAATCAGGTTTCATTGTCTGGGGCTCACATGATTCAGCTCCTAATCTCTCTTCACTCTCACAGCAGCACACACCAGTCTCTAAATATGCCAATTCCAATCAACCGAGCTTGACCCAGTTTCCTGCAAGCCTGCTTATCTCATGTTCGCATTGGAATTTCCACACATGGCTAAAAAAGAGGGGACTGTGGTATTGCTTCAGAGCAGGCTTGGTCGATGTTTAGATAGCGACTGTGTTCGTTGATGAGTTCTGATGAAGCAGTTCAGAACACTGTGCCCTTGGCAGACTCTTCCTTTACAGGTAGCTTTTACCTTCTGCGACTCCACAAAGTGACTGGCGATTCCTGCCCTCTGAACATGCCTTCCTTTGAGGCGAAAGCCAGTGAGTGCAAGGAAAAGACCCAGCTTGCCTTGCAGCCTGGGAAGGAAGTAGCCTCCTCCGACATCAGGGAACAGGCCTACAAATGAATGTAAGGAAAAGCTGGTTAAGAATTGAACAAACACAATGCTGTCATTAAGACGGGACACTGGAACGTCTTTCAGCTTTTCCTCACTGTCATAGTCATTGTCATTGTCCTCAGACAAGGCTTATGCATACAGAAGGAGAATGCTTACATTCCACCTTAGTTCTGACATTTGGCCATTGCTTTGCATCAGTGAAGATTCATGTAAGCTTCTTTTCCTCTGCTTGTTCAGACCAGGAAGATAATGGCTCCGTACTTGAAAAGTAAACCAGCTGATAACCTTCATTTGCAGTTATTTGTCCTCTTCAGTTTCATGCCATAATGTATTACTGAGAAGATCCTGATTTCACTAGAGTGGATTTTACTTTTGCTGACAGCTTCCTTTTCAAACATTTTTCCTAATATTTCAGAACAGCAACATCAGATTTCGGAAACTTTAAAACAGTCTGGTTTACTTGGTTATATGGTTAACACTAACTGAATCCAATTCACAGAAATTAGTTTCTGCCCTCCTCCTGATACAGTATGTGCAGCTTTTTGCTTATGCAACCTAATGAGCGAACAGATGGACAAGATGTTTAACAAGTATATTTGCAGAATAAGTGACATATTTAATCACGTACTCTAAATCATAGCTGACTACTTTTGAACTAGGCGAGGAGGAATTAAAATCGCATTCCACTGTCAATGCAGATTATAATCCTTTTGTTGCAGCCTGGGGATGAGACAGTGCTTCGTTTCTCTAAGCAATGGTTTAAAGAAGTAAAAATCCTTTAATCCTCCAGCTAATGGAGGTTAAGAGTGGGGGAGGGACTATACAACTGGACCCAGATGGACAACATGGACTGCTATTTTTGAGAGCATTCAGATCTAGAGCAAACATATCGCAAAATCAGAGGGTTCATAAGGCGTTTTTTTTTCCACTAATACAACATACACTACATATCTATATTGTTTCATCTTCTAATTGTTATTATACCCTTTGAACAGAAAATATGACAATATAATATGGAAACAATATTGTTTCAATCAGAGTAACAACATTCTCCTGTTTGCTGCAACCTTATCTCTGGCTCCAGACAAAACGTCATTACTGTTCACACTAATTAAAGAGCCCTTTACACCACCAAAAAACAACAAATCAGATGAATTACATAACTGACTCAGACTTCATTTTTTTAAAAAGAATTATAGTTATTGGCCTTTTTTTGTTTTATTTTCAGGCTTTGAGCAGTCTGATACAGTAACCGATCCTTTACTGCAGATGCCAAGATCACGTGGGGCTCAAGGCAGCCATGAAGACGCTGAATTAGTCTTTTGTTTCAAAAATGTCCGAACATGTTACATGGCTGTCTTATTCATTTAATTTTCTTTCTTACATTCTACAATGTGCGGCTAAAATGTTTTCCTGATCGTGTTTCTTCTTCAGAGCTACAGTGCCTGCTAAAAAAGATATGTTTTAAAAATTTTCTGAGAGAAAGATATGAAGTATTGATTTTTAGCAGGGTTTGGCAGGCTTCACTGCGTATACTTCATCACAGGTTTTCCCTGCACTCTGCTATTGTCAGTCATTTTACCCAGCAGAGTTCCTGGAAATCCACCATGAGATTTCTTTGTAACGTCAAACTTTGCTGAGTTAGCAAATCAATTTACAATGCAAGCAAATATTCCTCAGAGATGTGTACCACACTCAAAAAAGCATCAGGTGACATTTGTGAAAAAAAGGGATAACTATTTTCATACAGTACTGTATGTCCATTTCTCAGATTTTACACAGATCTTGTATTTTGTCCCACATATACTGTATACCTCGTTAAAATATTCAGGTGTGTAAAAATATATAACATAAATGCTAAAGTTTAAGTTTGCTGAAAAAGTTCCCTTATATTTGAAATAAATATAGAATCTATAAAGAAGTATATGTTTTTAAAGATTATTTTAGTTCAATCGCGAATTGTTGGGTTTCCAAGAAATACATCTAATGCTAAACTTGAAGTTTTTCATGCAAATGAGTCCTGCCCATTTGGGCATTACTTGAGAGGACTTTGCTTGCCTGGATAGGGAGAACATGAGGAATGGGCTAGGAAACATTGAGCTTGTATGAGAATCAATTCCAGTCTGACAACATGGAAGAAATACAAAATCACTTCTCAAATTAGGCATTTCATCTTTTATTTACAACATTTATGGATTGGGACAAAATAAGCATTTTTATATCCCTCCATTTTCCAGCTTCTTCATCTAATTAAGGCTTGTGGGGGAGCTTATTCTGGCATGCATCGGCGTAAGGCAGGATACACCCTGGACGGGACGCCAGTCCTCGCAGCGCACACACAGACTCAGACATGTACACAATCACACCAGGGTACATCACTCCTAGAAGCCAATTAACCTACCAGGATGTCTGTGGACTATGGGAGGAGACTGAACCTCCCAGGGCGAACCCAAACACAGAGAAAACACAAAAAACTCCACACAGATAGCAGCCCAGGAACTGAACCAGGGGCCTCAGGGCTACTGCAAGGTAGCAGTGCTAACCACTGTGCCACCTTGTTGCCCCTGTTTAATCTGTAAAAAAACAATTCAGACATAATGAAACTAGGTTTATGTTAAATGTCTCTAGCTCAGGTACCCAGCAAGGCCCAGTGCATTCCCAGACACAAGATTTAAACTGCATAATTAACAGAACAAGCACTCTTCAGTTTAAAAACTACACTGTCCATTAAGACATAAGCCTTTAAGAGGATTTGAACAAGTAGAATAAATGATTTTATATGTTAACAGAATGATGCTAGTACACATACACTATAGACCATTTATTGGTTTTCTTCATAAACATCTCATTTTGTAACCTTAAAAATATTGATGTTCAATGGATCTGATATGAATGTACTAGTTGGCAAGGTTTATTGTGTCTCATTTTTATAAGCCACACTAGCTGATGAGGGGGAGTAAATCTGTCGAGGTGTTTGGACAGCTGGGACATTTGATCAGATAAACAACTGACAAATTCTGGGATATACTGTACAGTACAGTTTGATAAACAGACCCCAAATGAGTGTAGACCAGATGGGCCCTCAGCCTATAAGGATGGAATTTTCTGAAGATGACCAATAGCCCCTGAAAACGTGTTTTTACAAGGGAGGAGAGAATGAGTGACAGTTGTATAACCACTTCTATACTGGATTCCTCTTTGATGCACAGAAACAAACAGGCACCATCAGGGCTCGGAGGGGACCTAGACTAAAATCAGGAGTACTGTTTTACTAAGAAACTATTTGTTTCATTGTGAAATCCATCAGGCAGAATGCATCATACGCTTTATGTGGATGAATTTTTGTTGAGTACCCAAGGATGTTTCCTTTTTAACATACTTTTAAAAGTATCTTAAAAATATTCACCTGTGGAGGATTAGTTATTTTATGGCAACAGACTTACCTGCTTTGCTTCACCCTTACAAGTGCATCAGGGTAGTCAATGAAAGGCATCCAATGGAGAAGCTTGTAAGCTTGTGGTCTCTAAGAACTCACTCCAATTGCAAATATTAGCTTTTGTGTCATGCATGTTTATAGTTTTCTAAATATTTGTCCTTTAAGCTATGGGTTGTTTACTGCCTCACCAACAAACTGCTCAGGACAACTAAAGAAGCCATGTGGCAGTTGCTTGGTATTCCTTTGAATGTGTGGGCGTGTATGTTACTATTTAACTAGGATCTGTAGTAACATTTGACTACATAACTATTCTCTAATAACACCATCCAAATTTTAGAGCAATATTATGGCCATATTTTAATCATTATGCAGAAGTCTTTTTGCTCACCAAAGAGATTTTGAAACCACGCTTGTAGAAGGGTTAATAGTTATAATAAAAGAACAGGAATAAGTCAATAATACCCACTTTCCAGCCCCACAAATCTCATATTTGACATACTGTATAGGTGGGAGGACCCCCTCTATTATGCGGAAGCAGTCCCACTATTTTCCAGATCGGGTTGAGACATTGAAGAACAGAAGTCCTATTTTTGGTTTTGTTTGTCCACTAAATTGTCAAGTCTTGTCAAGTGACAAGTGAATCCTGTATTGAAATACCTAGATTCCTAAAACCCTACATTTTAAATCCATATTAGTTCAATTTTGGGCAACCTGCAAGAGAGTGAAACCTTTATTACTGGCTCTCCCTAGCTGTTGCATCAGAAGGAAACTCTTTTTAGAAAAAAACATAAGAGGGGAAATAACAGTTCAGACAAGACTGACCATCTTGTCTACTAAATTACACTGCATGACAGAACCACACATAAGCTATTTGTACAACATGTTTTCTCAAGGGTTTCCCCAGAAGAAGGCTTAGAGTTCTTAAGTGATCATGGCATGGACAGGATGAATACAGTATTATAAAGAAGATGAGTTTGCTGTTTTCCCTTACTCTTCTAATGAATCCATAGTAAAGACAGAAAGAGCAGGCCCTTGCACTTCACACACTTACAGTATATACAGTAATAGCTGTCTCGGAAGTTTTCCAACTTCAATAAATTGAGAATGTGTTATCACCTGTGTTATGACAGAAATTCAAATAAACATACATGTAATCCTGTAATATGTATACCTACAAGACTGCTCCTTAACATAAAAAATAAGTAAATTGTAAACAAGTAAAATCTGAGTACTTTAGTGTTATCTTATGTACTTCAGTACGTAATGGCAGTCTTCACCTTTTCAGGACTCACAATTTTTACATTTTAATTTTTAAAAAACTTCTAAGCAAATTGGAGAGCTCGTCACTGTCATTTTTATTGCCACATACTGTATAACAACACAGACCAATAGTTCTGATTAACACTTAGAATACACCATTTATAAATATAATTTCATTAATAAACTATTTTTGGTATCCATTTTATTTTTTAATTTTACAGTACCACTACCATTTCAGTGCATCAAAGTCCAATATCTGTAGTATTTTACCACTTAGCATTGTGAAACATAAGCAAATGTTGT